AGAACACTCCAGGGCACGGATGTTAAGACCACTCCTAACAAACAGCAGGAAAACTAATTAGTGGCCATCTCGTGGGGTGGAGGTTGCCAGATAATGAAAAGCCCCAGTTTAAAGCGCTTCAGATTTCTGCAGTGAGAGGCAGCAGTAATGGACTTTTCATAATAGGACATATTAATGGAGTTCCCTGCAATATGACGATAGATACAGGAGCCAACGTTACCATCATCCAAAAAGATTTGACTCAACAATTGCGAAGCAAACTTATCTGGACGCCACCCTGCGTTACCCTACAGACTGTGTCCAGTGATAAGATCGACATCGATGGAAAAGTAAATGTTAACATCACGTTTGGAAGTGCTGCTTATCATCACACAGCATATGTAGCAGAGATCACTGATTCTTGCGTACTCGGCTTGGACTTTCTAAGGAAATACAATTTTTCCTTGGACTTTAAAAATAACGAATTGCATTCTAGATCTGAGGACATAGCTTTATTTGAAGTTAATGATGAAGAAGTTAAATCTGTCCATAAAATCATAGCACAAGACTATATCACAATACCGGCAAGAACAGAAATTTTAATTCCTGGATCCATAGCCGAAAACAGAAATTTCCGCTACGGCATCATAGAATATCCCAATAACTGTAATAGCCCAAAAGGAGTAGTAGTAGCCTCAACACTCGTCGACCTATCCAGAACGGTTATCCCGGTGAGAGTCGCCAATGTAACTGAGAAGGTGAGAATTATTAAGAAAGGTGAAGTGGTTGCAGCATGTACTCCAGTAACCACCGTTGAAAGAAAGAGTAACATCCCAAGAAGTCCGTGTCTTTCAGAGAGCATTACATCGGAGTTATTGCAAGAATGCGCAATTAAACGATGAAGAGAAGAATGCTGCCGATCGCGTCATTAAAGATCTTCAAGTTGTTTTCTCCCGCTCGTCTTCTGACGTGGTCGAACCAGTTTGACACAACATAGAATCGATACCGGCGATCATCCCCCGATCAAGCAACATCCAAGACGTTCTACCGTTTGCTAAACAGGAAGACAGGTACAAACACTTTTAAAGGATATGGAAGAAGGCGATGTCATCAAGCCTTCAGCAAGTCCATGGGCATCTCCCATCGTTCCTAGTCAGAAAGAAAGACGGCTCAACAAGATTTTGCGTCGACTATCGCCGGTTGAATGAGGTTACGAAGAAAGACCGTTACCCTCTTCCTAGAATTGACGACATTCTAGACACTCTTTCTGGAAGCAAGTGGTTCTCAACACTTGATTTAAAGAGTGGTTATTGGCAGGTAGAAATACACCCTGAAGACCGAGAAAAGACGGCATTTACTATGGGTCAAGGGCTTTGGCAATTCAAGGTGATGCCGTTTGGACCGTGTAATGCGCCGGCAACATTCGAACGCCTTATGGAGACTGTTTTGAAAGGTCTTTCCTACGAAGCCTGTCTGATATACCTGGACGATATCATCATCGTCGGAAAGAGTTTTGAAGAGCATCTAGAAAATCTTAGGAAGGTGCTTCAGAAACTGAAAGAAGCCAATCTGAAGCTGAGTCCTGCTAAATGCAAATTGTTTTGAAAGGAAGTGACTTACCTGGGACGTGTCATCTCTGCAGAAGGTGTGTGCACGGATCCTGAAAAGGTGTCAGCCATTAAATTCTGGAAACGTCCCGAAAATGTCCATCAGTTGAGAAGCTTCCTAGGGCTTTGCACCTACTATAGGAGATTCGTGAAGGACTTTTCTTCCATCGCAAGACCCCCTTCACAAGCTAACAGAGAGCAAGCAAAGATTCTTGTGGACAAAGGAATGCGAGGATGCATTTAACAATTTACAGGAAGCTTTAACATCTGCTCCAATCCTGACGTATCCTCAGGTCTACAGACCATTTATTCTCGACACGGATGCGAGCAATGAAAGTGTCGGTGCTGTTTTGTCCCAAGAAATAGACGGCCAAGAACGTGTAGTAGCTTACTGGAGCAAGTGCTTGTCTAAACCGGAGAGGAATTACTGTGCTACTAGGAAAGAGGTGCTCGCCATAGGCAAAGCTGTAGAACATTTCCATCATTATGTATACGGGAGAAAATTCCTCCTCCGCACGGACCATGCCTCATTGGCCTGGCTTTTAAATTTCAAGAATCCTGAGGGTCAAATAGCCAGGTGGATACAGAGACTCCAAGAATATGACATCACTATCCGTCATCGTAAGGGATCATCACACGGGAACGCTGACGCCCTGTCTAGACGACCTTGCCCGGAAAGTTGCTGACTCCCGTCACAAGACAAATTACAACATCAACATCGGCTGATCGAGAACCGTGGAGTGATGATGAAGTCAGGAAAGACCAGCCGGAAGACCGCGACATTAAACCCATAATTGATTTAATGGAGTCATCAAACAGAAAACCTACCTGGCAGGGCATTTCTATCTGTAGTCCTACAGCCAAACAATATTGGGCACTCTGGGATTCACTTCACATTCGAAACGGCGTCTTATACCGGAAATTCGAATCGGATGATGGGAAGATGTTCTGATGGCAACTTATACTTCCAAGATCCCGCATTCCTGATGTCCTTAAAGAATTACATAGCAGCCCTACAGGAGGTCACTTTGGAATAATGAAGACCTTGCAGAGAGTTCGTGAGTGCTTTTACTGGAATAATGCAAAGGATGACGTGCAAAAGTGGTGCCGATCTTGCGATGCCTGTGCAGGTCGGAAAGGACCGAGGAGACGCAGCCGAGGCAAGGTGCAACGTTACAACGTAGGGGCGCCTTTTGAACGTATCGCCTTTGACATCCTGGGACCTCTGCCACGAACTGCTGATGGCAACAAATACATACTCGTTGTCATTGATTACTTCACCAAGTGGCCTGAAGCTTATCCTATTCCTGATCAAGAGGCTGTCACAGTAACTGAGGTAATGATACAGCACTGGATTTCCAGGTTCGGAGTGCCTCTTCAGTTACATTCCGATCAGGGAAGGAATTTTACTTCGGCAGTAATCAAAGAACTATGTAAACTACTTGGCATTGACAAAACCCAAACGATGCCATTACATCCCCAGTCGGACGGCATGATAGAGAGGTTCAATCGAACCATCCTTAATAACCTCTCATTAGTGGTTTCCAGAAACCAAAAGGATTGGGACAAGAAATTACCACTGTTTTAACTGGCTTACCGCAGTGCTGTCCACGAGACTACCGGCTATTCTCCATCACAGATGCTCTTTGGTCGTGACCTTCGTCTGCCTTGTGATCTATTGTTTGGTCGCCCTCCGGATGCTCCTTCATCGTCTGAGAAATATATTCAAGATCTCCAGCCACGGTTTGAAGTGATGCACAACTTTGCACGAGAGCGAGTCAACTTGGCGACGGAGAAGATGAAGACCCGCTACGACACAAGAGCTACTGAACATCAATTCCACGAAGGAGACAAGGTGTGGTTGTGGAATCTGACTCGACGGAAAGGACTTTGTCCGAAATTACAGTCACATTGGGATGGCCCGTACACAGTCCTAAAAAGGCTGAATGACGTCGTGGTTTGGATTCGTAAGTCTTCGAACTCTAAACCTAAAGTCGTTCATTACGACAGGTTAGCTCATTACTATGGCCATAGTACGTAATGTAAATAATTGTAAATAGTATCAGACCATGGTCCTTTTTGTTTTTAAATGTGTATTTGATTTGATTTGTATTTAGTATCTGATAGCATTTGATTTTTTCAAGTTAGTTATTGGTTTATTGTTCATGTTGTTTGATATTGTAATGTAATGTTTATGCCTCAGTTGCATTTATGCCACAGTTGTAAGTTTAGCTTCCTGTCCAGGGATTGTACTGCCCGGGACGTGCAGTCCTTGGGAAAGGGGCAGTGTTACGAATTTGGTATTTAAAAAGCTAATGTTAGTTCAATTATAAATTAAATGGTTTTATTTCTCGCGCGGTGCAGCCCGTGATGAATATTAAGGGAAAGCTAAGCCGGAAAATTGAAAATACAAGAGCATGTGCATTAAATAAATAAATATCTCTTTTTGATTTCAAGAAAGTACTGGAAAATTCTAGTGCGTGATTTTAAAATCTTATAAAAGGAGGAAAACATCTCACTTTGTGTAGTTGCTTAGTTTTTTGTTGTTTAGAAACTTCTCTTGTTGATTGTAGCGAATTTGCGGAGTTGCTTTCTTTAGCTGTTTTGAATTACGTTCTATTGGACATTTGAGTAGTTAAAAGATAACTACTGTGAGATATTGTAATACTGCATGATAATTTGAGAAAATTTAAGCGTTTTTGTTGTGATAATAATAAATTTTTGTTCCTTTTTTCATCGAACTTCTGCATTCATTTCGTAACGAACTCGTACGCACACAACATTATGTTACCAAAATGTGCTTGATTTGAGATAAATAAGAAGTAAATTTACTTTAGCAGTACTGTACATGAAATTTTTGCATTACTTTGCAAAATTTGTGGAGAAAACTGAACAAAAGAAATTATCTGTATTATTTACGATATTTTTCATGTTTTTTAGATTGTATAGAATATTTTGTCATATTGTTACCTTTTCAATTTTTTTATACTTTTAAAGTATAAAAAGCAAAATATGTGTAACTTTTTTTGTATTGTTTAATTATCCTTCTTTAATATGTTTCATAATATATGTTTAGATTGTAATAAATTAAACAAGTGACAGAGCTCTTTTATGTTTTTAAGTCTGTGCTGCTTATAATGTATATATTATTGAATGAATTGTACTATGATGACTTTCATGATCTTTCTACTCTGTCGTCATTGGTAATCAAAACTTTTGAATTGGATGTTGCAATAAATGATCAGTCTTTACGTCTATACGTTGTCCATGTACACAGTTACTTTGATGAAATTATCTTATTCAGAGTTATTTTTTTAATATTTATTAATAGTTTTTTTTCCTGCATAATCTTATTAATCACCAACCTCAAACCTCATCACTTCATTATCTCCTTTATTCCTTTCTATGTAACAGGAGCTTTTTGAAAGTTGCGAAAGACTACGGCCAAAACTTTTTCGTTTAGCTGGAGAACTGGATGAAAAAGATGAAGGCCTTGGTAATGTAAACATATTTATTTTATCTACTGTTTTAGTTTTGATGGTACGTATTCTTTACTGATGTTTGTTTTATATGTATTTTAGGTGAAATTTTAAAAGCAAATGATGAATTGACTGTTGTAATTAACAATTATAAAAAGAAGATGGGTGTGCCATCTGAAAATGGAAGTTCTAATACAAGTATGTTAATTTAGAATTTGTACTTGCAAATGTGACTTTAAACCTGTTGTTGTGTTTTAAAAAAATAACTTGTGGTCTGAAATCACGGGAAACCCAGATGAAATACCTACTTAATTGTAAAATTTGGGAATTGTTTTAAATTTTGTTAAAAGGCAAATTATTACTGACACAAATTTTGGGATTTTGCTTTTAATTATTTGCAACTAAATGATATTTATTTTGTTGTAAATAATTAAAAGCAGTAATTTTTTTTTAATGATTGAGATGATTTTTTAACTCCTCTTCCCAGATGTGTGTATATTTGCTGTAATAATTATGGGACAATCTGTTCAAACTACAGCATCTCGTAAATACATTTATGTATTGTTGGATTACATCCTTCCTGAAATAATGATTTATTAGAACCAGCTTCATTGGCTCAGTAACTTGGCACATATTGGTTCAATGTTAAGTCTGATCTTATTCAACATGATGTTCAGTGATGTGTCTCAATTATGAACACAGATAATGCAGTGGAGTCCACTGTTTTTATTTGCAGAGGATTTGGCACTTCAGTCCATTGATAGAAATTTTAAAAAAAGATGTGCGACTTCCTTAATGAAGCTCTTGGTAGTCTTTCATCATAATCAAGAGAAATTGAAATGATTATAAATATTAATATGACAAGTTTTTAATTTTTTACTGAATACAAAATTTAAAGCTGTTAAATTTTTACATGAACTACACCAATTAAATTAAACTGAAAAAATGCTATGTACTTGGGAATCAGTTGGATTCTAAACTGAGTTAGAGCAGCTATTCTCATAAAAGTGTAGAGACTGATACCTCCAGAAATAAATTATTTAACAGACTTGTGTTATTGAAATGAAAAAAAAAATTGCCTCTGAATCTAAAACCAGGAAATAATTCAAGGAATATGCATGACCAGGAAATAATACGAGAGTGGATCCAAAAAAAAGTTTACAGGAGTAATAAAAAATTATTTATTAACAACAGACAGAAAATAAGGAAAGCCATATGTGGAAAAGGGAATTAAAGGGCATACTTGGCTATAATTTTACCACAAAATTACCAAATATGTTTAGGCATTTAGCTGAACTCTGGACCAGCTTGTTTAACCCGGCTTGGTAGAAATCACATCCCTGCCCATTGAGCCAGAGCTCTTGGTAGCTGTTTTCATATCACTGTCTGATGAGAACCTCATTCCACATAAATGTTCCTCAATTTCAGAAAAAGAAAATAGTCACTGGGTGTTAAACCTGGACTATATCAGGGGTTACTTCAAACTTCCCACTTAAAAACTTTTGCAGCAGTTTTTGAGTTTGGTGAGGAGTATGGGACCATGCATTGCTATGCAGGAGAACGACACTCAGCATGTTAGGCGCTTGTGTTGGATGGCATCACATAACCTTGTCTAAATGGCACACTAACAATCGAACCTTTCTAAACGTCTTACCATTTCAATTGCTCTGATACGTCTACGAACTTACTCTACCTACCTGCACAACCACTGCTAGATAACAAATAGCCACCTGCCTACATTATGGAGATAAGGTACAGTCTGAGTAAAAACTTTAAAGCCAGTAAAAATTTTTGAGAAAATGTAAAATGAAATGAAAGGGATTCAAATAATATTATTAAAGTTCATTGATAAGAAATAAATGCTATAAACATAATTTGTAAATACATAATTATGAGAAACGTGGTTATTTACAAAGTTTGTATTTCTGCCTGAGTAAAAACCTTAAGGCCACCAATCATTTTTTAAAAATAAATATAATCGTGTAATTACCATTGCAACTACAGTCAAAAGTCTTTAATCCGGACTCGTCGGGACTTCGGCGAATCCGGATTATCGATTTTTCCGGATTATAGATCATCAGTTTAAATCTGGTAAGATGGCATGCAGAAATTATAAAATTAAAAATATGAAACCATAATTTATAAAATAATGAGCAATTATGATCTAAAGGGTATCAAAATTTACCAAAAAAGAAGCCTAATATTTATTTGTTTACTTTATTAAACATTTCTTTCAACGCGCGGATGCGTAAAGCATACCTTACGCATAGCCGAAATTAGAAAATTGCAACCAGAAAACTATTTGATTTGTATTTGTGGTATTTATAATGACGAGGAATTTGATTTAAATCATATCAAAGACGGAGTACATCGAAATTAAATACTACATTTAGTAAGGAATTATAAGCCGAATAAAATAAAAACATCTGCTCTGAAGATAACGATAGTGTTGACAAATCAACTTCCAGTTCATTGAGCGCCAGGACGTCTCCCCCCCCCCTCCCCCCCCCCCGCGCAGAGCAGCGTGAAATTGATAAACAGATTTCGGAACGGTTAGATAAACAAAGAATATGCCTTTATCCATTTTTTTGTAGCAATTCGTTTTTTGTTTGATGGACATCGAAACATACTTTCGTTTTCTAGATCCTTTGGGAGCTCCAGCATCGGAAATTCTATTTGACATAATCAAAACTTCAAGCTTACTTTTAGAAAATTGCTCTTACAGTCTGCAAAAAATAATAAGCCGGATCCAATCCAATTCGAAGATTAAGGAACAACGCAATCATCAACATTAACTGAAATAGATAATTAGATAATTTTAGCTTATACCGTCCGTTATACATTAAACGCGCACGCGAAAACGTATTCTGCACTTGCGCAGACGCATATGCGCAGTCGTAAATGTCTTGGGCGCACGAGTAAAACGCCTATGCGCATGCGTCAATGCGGCGCATGCGCAGAAAGATTTTAGCTTTGAGGTCCGGATTATGGGTGTCCGAATTAACGACTTTTGACTGTACTAGCTTGTGACAATGCTGCAGTTTTCATATTTGTCATACGTTTCTTCGAAGTATTGGTGATCTTTGTGAAGATGACGAAGGGTAAGAAGTTAACTGATCGTGAAAGAGGAGAAATCGAAGCTTTGTCTTTAACAGGAATGAGTAGTCGTGCTATTGCGATAAAGACTGTAGTCAACAATTTTTTTAAATTGAAAGACAATTATGGTAAAAAGAATACTGGGGGAAGACCTAAAGCTTTGTCCTCGCATGATGAAAGAAGAGTTTGCCTACTTGTATCTACTGGAAAGTACTCAACCAGGAAACTGATTCCGACAACAGGTTTAAAAGTGTGTCAAAAACGATTTATAACACAATTAGAAGGTCTGGAAGGTTCAATCATACAGCAAAATTGACTAAGCCTCAGTTACTGCAGAGACACAAAATAGAGCGTTTGAATTTTGGCCAGAAAGTCATGACCTGGGACAACCAATGAATAGAAATTATTTTTTCTGATAAAAAAAGAAAAAAAAAAGGAATTTGGATGGACCAGATGGCTGGAATTTCTACTGGCATGATATAAGAAATGACAGAGAAAATATTCTCCAAGCGCCAATTAGGTGGAGGGTCTGTCATGACTTGGGGATATTTTGCTTACAATGGTGTGGGCTCAATTGCATTCGTTTCAGGTAGAATGAATTCACAAGGATACCAAAATGTCCTAACAAATCATTTTTTGCCAAATGCTGAATGTCTTGTTGGAGAAAATTGGAAATATCAGTAAGACAATGCATCAATCCATTCGAGTAACAGCAAAAAAAAATTTGTTCCAAGTCAACAATGTTGAAACTGTGAAATGGCCAGCTAGATCACCTGAACTCAAGCCAATTGAGAACCTTTGGGGTGACTTAGCAAGAAGAATTTATGCAAATGGGAGACATTTTACATCAACAACAGAGCTGAAATCTACTATCGAAGGTGAATGGTATAAAACTGACCCCACCCTTTGTCAAGAAACTCGTTTTCATCCATGAAAACAAGAATATTTGAAGTAATTCGAAGAAATGGCTCCTACACAACCGTCTAAGAATTTGTAATTTTTTTTAATATGTTATTTTGCTATGTTGGCCTTAAAGTTTTTACTACAGTGCTCAAATGTTCATCTGTGTGTTCTGTAATATTTTCTAATAATAAAATATTTGCAAATTAATTTTTCTACTTTTTTTACTTTTATTTAAGCTCAATAATTATCAGTCAAATGGTAGTTTAATTCCTCAGTTTAAATGTTTCCCTTTTCTCAAAAATTTTTACTGGCCATAAAGTTTTTACTCGGGCTTTATTACCTCCACAATAATTATTTTTCAAATGCTGATGCTTGTAACTTTTTATTTTTTAGATCCACATACATAGTAATACTTTTCAGGGAAGAAACATTTACCAGGTTAAGACATATTAGTCTTCTAAAACTACGATTCTGTTTTGTAAAATAAGTGAAGGAACAGCTTTTATTTAGGGCTGTGTTTGTGCTCTGACTAACAGTTTATCTCAAAAGAGAAGTATCAGATGCAGGCTTCAGTGCACTTTGGTGCAGTTTAAGCTCTGTGCATTGAGTTTAAAGGACTACCGAAAATTCTCAACATGGAAAAAATTCCAGCAGCTTACATACACTCACAATCTATTGGCCTTTAACTTGTTTGCCACAATAGGTTTAGTTTAACAATTCTAAATCATTTCTCATTGTTTGAAGGACTGCTTCTTTGACTACTGCTACAGTATACTGATTGTCAGAAGTGTTGGTAATCACTGGTAGATATAAGACACAGATCTCTGGAAAACAGTTTGATATGTTTGGAATTGTTTCCAGGCCAAATAATCAGGAAAAAAAAAAAAAAAAGTGGTTTTGTCATTACCAAATAACAAAATAAAAGAGTGACTTTTTTTATTGCATGTCCTTCTTCAGTGCTTCTAACAGTAAATCAGTGCTCACTATCTGCTATTCGTCTTCTTTCAGCTATCGAAACATGAATATCATAAAAAAATTATCCCATGAAAGTTATAAATTCGTGTCAGTCAGCATTTTAAGATTTTCAGCTGCTCAAATTCCACTACACTTTTAAAATTGTATATTTGAATTGCATTCTTAACTTTTGGAAGCCAGTGTATAAATAAGAGGCTCAGATGAGCCTGAATTAGTTGAGAGAGTAATGGATTAATTAAGAGACTTTTTAGTAATTTTACTGTTTGCTTTGTGTTCTGTAGTTTGCAATAATTCTGAAAATGCAGAGAGAATTTCTTGTTTAAAGAGATATTTCAGTATTTTTTGTGTTCTACTTCAACTATTTAGTTGATTAGCTTTGAAAACTGTTGTCACTTTAAGCTGTAATTAATATTCAGGCATTTCTGTTCATATGGCTTGTGTATTTAAGCAGATCTTGACAATCCAGGAACATGTTACGATATATTGCATTGTTGCCAATAATAAATAAGTAGTGAGAACAAATTTTTATACTTATTGCTGAAATGTTTTTTTTTTTTTTTTTTTGAAGTCTTTGAAGAAGATTGAAGTCTTTTTTTTTTTTTTTTTAATTATTTTTATTTATTTTTAGTTCTGCAAGCTGTAACAGATAGCATATATATATAGGAAAGCAATTGGGATATATTATTGCATATGAATAGGGTAGCTGCATTATTAATAGTACAGTCAAAAGTCGTTAATTCAGACACCCATAATCCGGACCTCAAACCTACAAACTTTCTGCGCGTAAGACCTTTCCGGCTGCGAATACGCACGTGCGCATGCCCAAAATACGTTTGTGCATGTGCGTTTAACGTATAACGGACGGTATAAGCTAAGCTAAAATTACCTAATTCAGTTAATGTTGCAGATTGTGTTGTTCCTTAATCTTCGAATTGGTTCCGGCTTATTATTTTTTGCAGACTGTTAGAGCAATTTTATAAAAGTAAGCTTGAACTTTCGATTATGTCAAATAGAATTTCTGATATATATTTACTAATATGTAAAGGATCTACGAAAGTATGTTTCGAAGTCCATTAAACAAAAAGTGGAATTCCTGCAAAAAATGGATAAAGGCATATCCTTTGTTTATCTAAACTTTAACGTTTGTTTATCTTTAACGCCGGTGCGCAATAAATTGGAAGTTGATCTGTCAGCACTATCCTGATCTTCAGGGCAGATGTTTTTATTTTATTTGGCTTATAATTCCTTACTAAATGTAGTATTTCATCTCGATGTACTGTCTTTCATATGATTTAAATAAAATTCCTCGTCATTATAATTCACTTCCGATAGTGAAGAAAGTAAAGTAAACAAATAAATATTAAGCTTTTTTTTTTGTAAATTTTGATACCCTTTAAATCATAATTGTTCTTTATTTCATAAATTTACAGTTTCATATTTTTAATTTTATAATTTCTGCATGCCATCTTACCAGATTTAAACTGATGATCTATAATCCGGAAAAATCGATAATCCGGAATCGCCAAAGTCCCGACGAGTCCGGATTAATGACTTTTGACTGTATAGAATTTTAAAATATATTATTTAACTGTTCTAATAAATGAAGTAGTTGAATTTTCAGCAGTGGACCTAGGTTTCTACCATGGAATCAATTACATAGCTGCCAATTCTCTTGCATTTTACCCAGAGATGCATGATTGTCCCTCCTTCTGATGATTTTTAATTTTTAACCTTTACTAAGGGAAACGTTTCCCAGTAATAAACGAATTTCTCTGAATTAAGGAAACTTAAATTAAGCTAATTACATTTTCCCATCTCTAGTGATTTTCAGAATAATTTTTCTTATTAAATTTTATCTGAATTGTATTTTTATTGCATTTTATTGATCTTTGTCTTTTTTGATTTTTCATTTGATCCGAGTTGTCTTAATCTTTGTTTAATCAATTAATATTTGTATATAATTTTATTTTACTTCACTATATGATGCATTAAAGTTTCCACACAAATGCTATACCCAGTAATTAATTTTATTTTCATCATATTCAAAAGGTATTTTGATTAAATAAAAGCTTACCTTCACTACTCATGATTTTCTCAAGGTGTAAGAAAATTAAAGAATGAAATTAGCCTAAGATTATAAAATTTGAAATATCTAATTAAATACAGTATATTTTATGTCAGAATTGTATTATAAATAGTTCAGTAACCTGAATCATGCATTAGAAACTAAAGCCAGTTTGAAATTCCTTTTAAATGATATCATCATCAATCTTCCAGTATTTAAAATCCCAATCATATTATGCTTCGGATACGCGGGACTTGATGTCGAGAGGGACAATTCTCAGAACCTGCACAATTCCAAGAAACCCACGTAGCTAGGCTACCATTTTCACTTATACTACAAAGACTTGAACGCCAAACACTAATTGATTATCCTTCAGATTGGAATCGCATGATGCTTCAGAAGCAGAACTTTCATCTGATTGGTTGTCTCTACCTGGGACAAAGGTCCAGCCAAGATATTTTCAGTGAGGTTTGGAAAAATCCGTAGCTAGGCGGGATTTCGCTTCAGGTGGGGCTCTTTTTTCTAGGAATCCTCTCAGTTAAATCAGTGCCTCCAGAATCTTGTTTCTCTGAAAAGTCCTGTCTAGCCGGGACTGTAGCCAAGTGTGATAACCTCTTAAGATTTCAATGTTGACAACTATGTGGTTATTTCCACCTTTAATAAAATTAATATGTGTTGCATTTTTTGTTATATGTTGTGTACATTTAGTTTATGCAATTAGTACATATTTTTAGTTGTATTTAGTTGTGTACATTAATTTTATGCAAAATTATTTTTTGGGTTAATGTTGTATTCTTAAAGCATAATTAGACTTTTAAAAGCTAAAGTTTAATATTTGTCAAATGCTAGTAATCATTATTAATAAATATATTAGTATAGTTACTGTGTTATAACCAGTTTAGATAAGGATGTAGAGAACCTGAAAGGTTTAACCCTTTAACTGTCAAGTTATTTTGATGATTTATTGAGCGCACATTAACTTTTCCCGAGATACAGTCAAGTTTGACAAAGAGATGAAGCCGAAATAAACGTCTCCCGATATATATTCGGGTATAACAATACGATGCACTCAGAAAAAAATTACCCCAAGATATACTCGGACGTGACATTTTCGAACACCAGTGCTATCTCGGGCATGACAGTTAAAAGGTTAAAGAAAACCAGATTAATATAATCAATGAAAAATAGGATAATGAATTCAGAGGTAAAATTGAGATAATGAGTTTATAATAAAGAAACAAAAAAGTTCATATACTGAACAATTAGTTAATACATTTTTATTTATTTATTTTTAATAGAGGAGGCTTCATTATTAGATCTTGGATCTCCTGTTCAAGAATCTCAGTCTGCAGCCGCTAATTCTTCTCTGCTGGATGATCAGCTGTTGGCTTTGGGTAAGTTTTAAATTTAAAAATTTCGATAACTAAAAAATCTATAAAAGAAATATGTACCATAAAGATTTGACAATGCCTCTCACAATTTAGCATTTCAGTCATGTTTTAATGGCAGTTTACGTATTGTCTTTATCATATATGGTATTCATAAGTACTAACCACTCGGTATTTATGAATCTGTTAGGCTGTTACTCACTTGTAACTAGAGGCATGGCTGCTTAACACCAAATTTTTAAAAACATTGATTAATGTGGGAGAGTTATTATTATATGTATTTCAAAGTTGGCTGTATTGTTTGTGTATTAACTTTGTTAAATATTGCATTACTTATAAAATAATGAAATATACACGACAAAAGCTTAAAATTCACAAGTTTTAAGGACTGAATTTAAAATTTTCTTAAATTTTTATAAATGAAGTAAGATTTTAATCAGTTTATAACCTTAGTAACAATTCATTTTTGCTTGGCTTACAAAGATTACATTATAATGTATGTCCAGATATAATCAGTTAGCTATATATATTATTCATTGTTGATTTATGTTAATTGTGCAAAAAGTCATTCCACTGGTACAGTTAATGCTGATATTGTCAGAATTAGTGAAGTAAATGTTGCACTCGTAATGTGTTTGCTTTTGTTTGTACATAGTATTAATTCATGTATAGGTTTCATTTTCTACCTGAAGGGGAAAATAAAGAACAAATACAGTTCAAATATTTTGAGTAACAACAAGTAATATAACAGTTCAAATATTTTGAGTATGGACTAGTAGTGCTAAGTTTTTTAAATAATTATACCAATTTCCAAGTCTAGATTTCTCTAAATTTTATCACAAACGTTTTGAGAAAATTATACTAGATTATGAAAGCTTCTCTTTATTTAAAAAGTTCATGAATTTTATTATAAGAACCAGACCTTTTGCATTTCTGCTGAGATGTGTTACAATTTCAAAACAGGAAGAATAATAATAAATTAAGTTCGTTTGTAAACAATGAGTATTCCCTCCTTGTAGGTGTATAACTTTAATTCATCAACTGCATGTAATTCATCTGCTTTTTTTGCACTGTAGGAGAAGCAGGAAGAAATCTTTCTTTGTCATTGACAGAATGTGATACATTCTTCAGCATGTACTGTCTTCTTATAGTAGGAAATAAGCAATCAGAAATAGAACATGGCAGGGCACAACTCATTTGAATTTGAATTTCTGAGCTTTAAAATCTAAAATTCGGTACATAACTATAGATTAAACACAATAAGGATTTTACTACATGAATAAATTAGAAAACAATGTTATGTTACTGCCCTCAGTTTTGAATTTATGGGCATGCATGTGTATGTGCTGAGAAAATGTTGCTGTTTGTATTTGTAAAAATTAGTCCATTGTATCAAGTGAGAAAAATTATATCTACTAAGCAAATTTAAGTATTGCTAAGAAGTAACATAGATTTGAAATACTTGCAAAAATTTGAAAGCAATTAATCTATTTGAATTAATGTAATACTTTTCATTGTGGGGAGACAATTCAAGTATGAATTGTATCAAACACTTCCTGGTATCATAGTGAAAACTTAAGCTAAAGCAGGTTATAACAGATTTGATATGATTAACTCATTTCTTTTGAGCTGAAAATAAACTCTCTGTATTAAGTGAATAGATATGCCATTTTCAATTGATAATGTAAGCATCACTCCCATAGAAAGGATTCCAACTGGCACAGTGGACAGGCAATGCTAACTTTTTGTAACCAAAATATGTATTTACATAGTTATATGCTTTGCTGCATTTCTGAGCAGACTCCCATCCCTCCCCAATATTTATATGAATAACAGGAAAAAAAAGAGAGGAGCAAAAGACTTAGCTGTTCTGTTTTTATTTTTGGGCTTACACAAAAAAGCTTGATATGCATATTTTTTAAGAAACAGTTGCAATTTTACACTGGTCATCAAAATTAAAGAATAATGAGAAAAAATATGCTCACTAAGTTAATGTTGCAACCAATGCCTGATGCTGCATAATTATTTATGTTAATTAAATACAATTGAATGCAAAATTGCACAGAGAGGTCAAACACAAATGGAGGTCGCCAAAAATTTGAATATCCTTTAAAGTGTCATATCAAGAATTTGGAGTCGCTTTTTAAGCATTGGATTAGTTAACAGGCAGCCTGGTCAAAGGTGACCAAGAGCACCAACTGCACAATTTTCTGTCATTGTCGGCTTGAAGAAACTGCGAAGCGACTGTGTGAGGTTTGGTTTTAAACCTTCAGACTGCCATGGGAACTCGAATTAATCATTCTACTGCTGCACAAAGGCTTAAAGAGGTTGGACTGTATGTGGACCGCTGTTTAATAGTTTGGGAAGGAATAATGACAAATGGCCACATCGAGCTGCATGTCTTTCAAGGAGGTTATGTAACCACTCAGAGATATGAGGAGGAGGTATTGGATTCCCAGGTTAGACTGTTTAGGGGTGGGTGCTGTTGGCTCAGAGATTTTGTTAATGGACGACAATGCTCGTCCTCATTGAGCATATGTGGTATCAGAATACTTGCAAACAGAAGATATCACTTGTATGGCTTGGCCAAGTTATTCACTGGACTTCAACCCGATTGAGCTTATGTGGGATACCTTAGGACACTGAATTTCCACATACCAAATTCCTCCCTATACCCTCTAGGAACGAAAAAAGGCACTTTTAGAGGAGCAACATGCAGTTTCCACAAGCCTTCATCAACACTTTGGTTAAGTCTGTGAAATCAAGATGTGAGGTATGCATATCTATCCAAGGTGACCATACATCATATTAAAGAAACATTTTTTCCACAAGAAGTGATTTAATTTTTCCATTATTTTCCAATTTCCTTAAATTTGGTTTTAATTTCAATATTTTGCAAATAATCAACTGTCAAACATTTTAATTTAGGCTAACTAATGCTTTTGTATATATTTCTATTAATAATTTTTCATTAAGTATTAGTTGTATTTTATTTCTGTCATTATCCTTTAATTCTGGTGACCAGTGTATGCAAGTAACAGAATGTAAGGTCACAATTTTAAGGGATGATAGAACTTGATAAATTAATAATTTTCATAATGCAGTTTGAGGGGGAATGTGATAGGAACATAGAAACACAATATGCACAAAGAAATTTTAAAAATGAATGACCAGCAGTTGCAATACATGTATTACAGAACGACAGATCTCATTTTTGAGACACAATTTGATTCTTCTGAAGATCAGAATGAGCATCTCTGTTGTCTGAGCATAGTATATGATATGCTAGGCATTTCATTGTGATGCATGTATTACAGTTACTAGTTATTCATTTGAACAAATATTGTGAATATCGTATATTATATCTCATAAATATCAGTAATTGAAATAACATTCTCCATATTTTTTATAGTTGTGTTTCTGTATTCACATTCCACCACAAGTCATATTGCAAAATTTGCTACTTTTGCCATGTATAATACAAGGTCTGAGATATGAACTTAGCAGGACTTTACCGATTTTGGATTTTAGATCATCAGTTTAAATCTTGTAAGATCACATAAAAATTATATAAAAAGTATGAAATAGTTTGACTTAATGAAGCATTTATGATCTCAAAAGAATCAAATTTTGAAGAAAAGCTTGTTTGCTAAACATCTTTTTTAATGCTAGATGTTTTAAGTTGCTTCGTGTAATTTCTTGGTTAGTTACAAAGTTCCATTATTCAGTGAAATTGCCAATTCGAGAATTCTCACTAAATTGTGAGTTGAAATTTTTCCATTCTCAGCAATCTCTTAATTACTTTCTTCACTCTTGGTAACGATATTTTCTGTGTTTGGAACCCTATTTCATATTTCATATAACCATAGTTATGAAATGAAACACTGAAAATTCGTGGACCCTTTTCTCTGAATCAAATGAAGTGAGCTAGAGTTCAGAAACTGCTTCAGTATATGAAACATGTACTTACAAAATCTGGACCATATTTGAAAAAATTCTCTCTTATCATAATTTTCTTTGAGCATCAGAATTAAATTCTGTTTTTTTTTTTTTTTTTTTTTTTTTTTTTTTTTTAAATAAGTTTTGTTAATAAATTTTACCGTATTATACTGGAAAACTTGTACACTAATGTTTTCAAAAAATGCAACACCATTAAGCAACATTTGGAAAATGAAATTTAATCTACATATTACTAATTAAGTGGTACAAATAAACAATCCAATTTACAAGACAAAAAACAAAATGAACGTCGGAAATCAGTACTTTGTGTGTCCAGCAAACTGAGTGATGAGAGCCTGTACTCACTGTGGCATTGAATCATAAGGTTCTGAATGTAATCTTGAAGAATGGCATTCATAAGGCTTCGACTTGACGTCAAAGTTCAGTCGTAGTCTGTGTCCCACCAGCTTTTTTTTTTTTTTTTTATACGAGTAAGTCTCCGAATGATGAGATACCAGGCATGCACCATGGGTGACCTATCCAGGGAATGAGGAGGCTATGGAAGAAGCAAAACCTGTTGTTCTTTAAAGAAGGTTTGTGCAGTCTGAGAAACATGTGCATGGGCAATTATCCTGTTAAAATACAGTGCCCGGAATGCGTTGAAGAATGGGGAGGACCTCTGCCTCCACGACTTCCCTCATGTAGTGATCACTGTTGAGGTTGCCCTAATCTGCACTAGATGGGATCGACAATTATACCCAATAGCTCCCCATACTATGATGCTGGATAACATATTGTGGAAGCATATGTTTCCCTCTGTAACATCTGACACATACTCTTCCATCATTTTATCTCCAGATTGTAACAAGATTCACCGGAGAAAACAACTTGTTGCCTCAGGATACACCATGCAGTGTGTTGCCATGCCCACTGAAGTTGGAGGCACGTGTGATTCATGTTCTCAACAATTTTTTTATAAAAGTCTTGATGTTATGCTGTGTCTAAAGTAAAAAGAATGTTTCAAGAAGATGCATGATTGACTGCTCACTGTCAGAAAAAGTGTCAGTGAATCTGTCTTTATCTTCTGTCTACTTCACATCATCTAAAGAATTATTATGGCAAATGTATTCCAGATAAAAATCAATAATTTTAATGGATTGATTTACCTCAGATTCACTTAAAATTGTTTGCCATTCAAAAATTTATTTCTATTAAATTATATTTTTTTCTTTTAAGGTTTAGGTGAACCTGATGCTCAAAGTTCTACTAATGTGAAATCTACAAGTGCCTCCAATGCTGCTACTTCTGCCACTCTGGCAGATTTGGATCAGATTTTTAAAAATAGCAAAACAAATATTGATGATATGAAGCCATCATTTTCTTCTGCTGCAAGTCTTAAACCTGCAAGTACTGTTAATTCTGTGATAAATGATTATACAGCCAATGTTCTTTTGTCTGGTGATACATCTGGTGTACCTTCTCTCACACCAGTACCTACTAGTGAGTAAAAATGCTGTGCGTGATAAATTTTGTAGATAATGAGTTTTTCTTCGCTTTTTTTTGTTTTCAATGCATGTTCTTTGCTGTAGAAAGAACTACATATTAAACACACAAAAAAATGTATGTAGACTTTTTCAATGTAAAATATTCTGCCTCTTAATAAGCATATGATTTAAGGCTTTTGATTCATAATCGGATATATAATTCATATTATATGATTATTTCCTTTATTTTTGTTTTATTTGGTGTATTAGCCAAGATGGTTTGAATTTAATCTGTAGAAATTTTCTTAAGTATGTGAATTTTCTCTGAATATTTATAAGTACATAAAATTTGATCCATAAAATCATTAGCTGTACTCTTTATTACAGATTATGTATATTGTATTGCATTGTTCACTAGAAATTATTTTGAGCAGTTTAAAAAAGAGTTTCACTTGAAGTTTTGTGAAACACATTACAACTGCAAAATTGATTTGGTGACTTGCCGACATTGGGCTAGTCAGCATAAGCTCTTTGTGCGATTGTCACCAACATTATTTTTTTGTTATTTATATAACATCTTTCAAAAAGATTGCAAGATTAAATATCTCTTTAACATATGAATCATGGCTTAAGAAATGAATCAGCTAAGGCATGCTTTCAAGTAGGAAAATTTCAGTCATTTAATTCATTTTGTAAAAAAAAAAAAAAAAAAAAAAAAAAAAAAAAAAAAATCAAGTTGTTCCTTATTCTACTACAGATCTTCTAGAAAAGGGAAAGACAGAGTTCTTTGATATATAAAATTGTAAAAATTATATGTCTTGAATTATTTTCATCAGGTAAAAAATCATGGATTTTTTTAAGGTTTGCATAAATCCTGAATTTCATTAAATAATGAAATTTTAAATTTGCTATATAATTTTAACATTTCTGCAAATACTCATTTATAACTCCAGACATTTTTATATTGATTCTTTTCTGATGTATCTGGTGTCTTTGAAAAATTATTTGTTATTTGGATGGTATATATAAATATTATTTTGTGAAGGGGTTGTTTTAGATAGGGTCATAGAAGAGTTCTGTATAGTGTAACAAGTATTTATTAACAGGTTTAAGTTACACACAGACATTATATTTATCTTTAAGAAAAAATTACAGAGCAAAAGTCTGGTACAACCTATCAAGTGGGAGCCTTGGCTCTTACTGAAGTACTTCTATGGCTACTCACCAGAGGGTAGCCTTGTTGTCATAGTTAGTCCAACAGTTTATGTTAAAGGATTGGTTACAAACTCCCCCTCTGGCTCTTCCAACATCCCGGCAATGAGACGGAACTGGAGGATTTGGGAGCTCTTGTAACATTGTCTCTAGTCTCGTTTTTTTTTTTTTTTTTTTTTTTTTTTTTTTTTTTTGTTGTTGTTGTTTGTTTCCTGGGCAAGGGAACCTCTCTTTGAAGCACTATTCGGAACCACAAGTTCTTGATTATTTCAGGAATGCAAAGTAACTTTTGGCAGTCTACCTCTCTTCCTGAGCGGAAGAATGGGAGAAGTGGATGAGTCTTTGAAAAATGTTAGTGCAGACGTATGGTATGTTCCTAAGGGTTCTGATGGTTTATGAAGGCTTGAAAGGACATAGGAAGTAGGTGATTTCTGTTTCATTACCAAGTATGGACCATCACGCTTTGGTATGAACTTTGAAGTCTTTTTGTTTTTTGCATTGTTAACAGGATGTAAATTAACCCATACCTTATCACCTGGTGAATAAAACACTTGTCGCCTTCCTTTATCATATTGTTTTTTACGTTGATCTTGCTTTATTTTGATACGCTGTCGTATGTCCTTTGTAATAGTTGTGAATCGATATAAGATAAGGGGTGATTTCAGGAACAAAGATATCATTTTCGACCACAGCTTTGAAATCGTGAACAACGTCGTCGACAGTCCTCAGCTCTTTTCCAAACATTAGGAATGCTGATGTATGGCCTGTAGTGTCACAGACAGCCATATTCATAGTGAAGCGAGTAACTGGGAGTTTCAAATGCCAATTGTCATGCACATCTCCTACTAGGATTGTAAGACGAGGTTTTAAGTCTCTATTTTTCCGTTCCACAGGATTTGACTGAGGAAAGTAAACTGGTATCAAGTTCTGATTGATATTTAATGTGCAGCAAACTTGTTGCATGACTGCACTGATAAATTTGGTGCCGTTATCACTGATGATTGTTCGTGGTATACCATGCCGCATGAATACTTCTTCGATGAGGGTTATAGTGCAGTTGCCTGCTGTAGCTTGAGCAAGAGGAAATAATTCAACCCATCGTGTAGCACAGTCTTCGACAATGAATATCGATTGTTTTCCAGTGTCAGTTTTTGGCAATGGCCGAAACAAATCGATAGATATGATCTCAAAACATTGAGAAAAGACAGATGTTCTTAAGAGTCCAGCTGGCTTTTGATTGGTAGCCTTGTGGCGGTTGCATTCAGGACAGTTTTTCACATAGTAGGATATATACTTTTTCATACCAGTCCAATAATAGCACCTGGCATTTCATTGGAATGTTCCTTCTTCTCCATAATGTCCAGCCATTGGGTCATCATGGTGCTTTTGCATGATTGATTCATGCTCGGCCGTTGGAATTACTAACTGGGCCTTTTCTGAATCAGAGTCAGGGACATATCGGTAGAGAACACCTTGATTTATTAAGAATCCCCATTCAGTCCAGTTGGCACATTCTTCAGTTTTCTGAGTGGATTCAAAACTTTCTATAATCTTTTTTAAGTGTTCATCTTTAAGTTGGGATTCACGCATGTCTTTTGGACGTCTTGTGGGCATGTTGACCACAGATATATTTAAAATCTCGCAAGGTGAAACTTCATGTTCAGTGCTTGGACGAGACAGCATGTCAGCGATGACGTTTGCCTTTCCAGGAATGTATTGTACTTTCAGGTTGAAAGACTGAATTTCAAGTGCCCATCTAGCAAGTCTTCCGGTTGGAGACTTAAGGTTCAAAAGCCCTTATAAAGGTTGATGATCGGATGCTATAATTACTTCTGATTCTTTGACATAACCATGGAATTTTTTCAGGGCCCAGACCGCAGCGAGGGCTTCTCGTTCAGCCGTCGAATAGTTTTGCTCAGCTGGAGAAAGTAGTCAGCTGGCATATTCGATAGGGTGCTCTTTAGACCCTTCCCCTTGAAGTAAAACGGCTCCAACAGCATAATTGCTTGCATCCGTTCGAAGAATATACGGTTGAGTACCATTTGCTTGCTACAACACAGGAGGTGTTATGAGGCAGTTTTTTAGAGTTTCAAATGCTTTTTGCTGGTTGAAACGCCATTCCCATTGGACTTTCTTCTTTGTCAAATCACTAAGAGATTGTGATATTTCCGCGAAGTTTTGTATGTATCGTCTAAACCAAGAACACGTTTAAAGGAAGGATTGGAGTACCTTGATGTTTTTGGGAGGTGGAATTCTCTGGATAGAGGAAACTTTTTCTGAATCAACTTCGATTCCTTTTTGTGTGATCCAAAATCCCAAATATTTCACACGAGAAGAAGCGAAGTGGCACTTCTCTCTGTTTGCGTGGAATTTTAAGAGCAAAAGCCTTTTGAAAACAGCTTTGAGATCGGAAAGGTGTTTCTTGAATGATTCTGACAACACGATTATGTCCTCCAGATAGGTGAGGGTCAGGATGTCCTCAAGTCCATTGTGAAAACGGTCTATCAATCTCGGGAATGTTGCTGGGGCATTCCGAAGACCAAAGGGCATTCATAAGAAATGATGTGTTCCGAAGGGACACACAAATGCTGTCTTGTCTTGATCATCAGTATGAACCTTCACTTGGTGATATCCTGTACGAAGATCAAAGGTCGACACGAAAGGAGTAGGTTTTGCCTCATGTAACAGGTCATCCATTCTCGGAAGTGGGTAGGAATCTGGAACTGTAATCGCGTTCAATTTCCGGTAATCTATGCAGAGGCATATTGTTCCATTAGGTTTCGGTATTAAAACAACTGGGGATGCATAAGGGGATTCGCATTCTTCAATTATTCCTTCAGATAAGAGCTTGTCAATTTCTTGCTTTAAGATTTTTTCCTTAGCAGGGTTCATTCTATATGGTGGTACAGCTACTGGGGGATGGTTTCCAGTTTTAATTTGATGTTCTATGAAAGGTGTTGCTTCTCCCCCTGGTTGGAAGATAGTTGAATATTGACTCAATAGCTCATTTAATTGTGATCTTTGATGAGCCAATAGATGTTGTCCTTCACATTCTCTTAACAGTACAGTGTCAACTTCCGACGTACATTCGGTTCAATCATTGGGTTTAGAATCATCATCAATAAACTTAAACTTTTGTTGCGGATTATCCTGGTAAAACCACCAATGATTTTGTAGATCTAAAACAATTCCAGCGCTTCACTCTTAAAAGAATCGTGTGAGGTGTCTCTACAGACACTGTATGTAAGTTTATTGCTTTGAAGTCGGCTGATTCTTTACTTAAAGGAGGAAAGCAGGTTGGACACTCAGCCTTAACGATGCCTGATTTTCCACAACCATAACAACTAACAGGTGGTCGATCTTCTCTCATGCCAGAATTCCTTGTCGCTGAGTTTTTAACAAGTTGAGGGTTATTTTTATATTTTTTAGGACCACTACATTGAGACAGCTTTGGAGTGTTATTACTGACGTTTCTACTCCTGATGGTTTCAGCTTCTTCGATAAATCTAATTTATCAGCCAGTTGAAGTGGATCAGTCCACTCGGACCAATGATCCACAAAATGTTCTCTATACTCAGAAGGGGACCGTCTTTTAATTTGGTCTGATGTCATCAAATCCTTTAACTTCTCAAAAGTATTGACTTTTCATTCGTCAATCCTAATCTTGTGCATCACTAGCAGATTCCTTTGCAATCAGTTTTGCAACGTCATTAGGTAACAAACCCAAGAGATACACTACCCATTTCCCTTGAGGTATGTTCAAAATTGTTAGTTGCCTTTCAAATAAAGTGAGGAAAAGGCTCATGTCATCACTTTTTGGATTAAAGTGAGGAATTAAAGTTTGTAATTGTAACTTAGGGATATCCGTGTCAGTGAGTTTCAAAGCAGGTAAGGAATCATAACTAGCACCTGAACTAGCTACTTGTATTTTCAATTTCTCAAGCTCGTGCTTGAGTTCTATCTCTTTCCTTTCGTTATATTCGCATTCCCTCACGCAGTTTTCTTTCGTTAAATTCACGTTCCTCTATTTCTTTTCGTTCCGCAATAATGCTGAAAAATATATCTTTAGTGAACTCTTCATTATATCCCTTACTCGTTAAAATGGCATCCTTTAATATCAACTATTGTCACTTGTTCTGTAACATTCACACCAAGTTCTTTTGCTAGAACACAGATATCTTGTTTACATCCTTTAAAAAAAAAACGACATGGTAACGTGTTTCACTTAAAATAAATTCTTCGATGAAAAAAAACTTTATTGTAGCTCTAACTAGAAGGTTGTAATGAGGTCACCTTACTCAGAAAAGATTTTTAGTAATTTTACCATAGAATAGCACTATACTAAAGTTAGTTGTATCAAAATTAACAGTCAAAGTAATATATAAAAAAGACTCTTCCTTAAAATAAAACAGTTTACAGGATTTAGAAATAGCATGGTTTAAGTAACATTGATAAAATCCTTTTCCGTTAATTATTTCTATTCTCAAAGAAAAAAATAAAACATTCATGGATAGCAATACACTTTATGAAACTAAAAGAATTACGCACATGTGAAACGCATATCAATCAGTATAAAAAAAATAACATTTAACCAGAAAGAATCTTGCTTCAGTAAATCATCAAATATAAACAATTTTCAGCAATGTAAGCGGAAATGGAAGGAAAAAAAAATATGGCTAATCTTTGGTATATGGTAACAGGTAGTTTGGCGACATTTTGGTAAGGCGATAAAGGTTACTAGCTAGGACTTTAGCAGTGTACATGGATAAAGTCAAGAGTGTGCGCAATGCCATTTTTGTGCAATTCTGGGATTTTTTTTAAGTGAAAATAGGTTGAGGTGTACATGGATGCCGTGTATGTGCAATTCTTAAAAACGTGGCAAGCAGTTTGCGATTCTGCACTTTCTCCCAATTTCGCACCTAATCTTCGTCATGATTAAGCACTTTTGTTCCATAAAAGTTCTAGCATAAGCATAATTCGGCTAGCAGATTGTTGGAAAAAAATGTTGAGTTAAAAAAAAAAAAAAAAGCCTTTACTTTGTGAAAACAAAATGGCATCCAAACAAAAACTAGCAGGTTGCTGTAGCAGGGTTGGTCGCCAAATTTTCGCCAAAAAATCGCCAAGTTACCATAATCCAAAGATTGACCAAAAATATCAATAAATAAAACCAATATGGAGGCAACAGGGTAATAAACGTGTCACTGAGTCACTGATTCATCAAGTTAAGCTCAAATAGAAACTACATTTATAAGATTTAATACATTCAGCATATTATAATAACAATTTCTAATACAGAATTTTACTCTTAAAATGCCTCACTTTGAATATATTATACCTTTTTATGTTTTACCACATTTACCATTTCGAAACAAAACTGAATATTATGATTATGCAGTTCTAAAGCACTCATCTGTAAACAAAATGAAAGAATTTCTTAATCACTTCAAAATGATACAATATTCATGAAAGATATACATATATACTTTAAGAACACAGTAAAGTATTTTTATGTTTTCATATTTAAGGGTTAACACATTATAGAACATTAGTGTTTAAATGCAAAACAAATTATATCATTGACAACTATTTGTTGCTGATAAGCCATCAGGGTGGCACCATAAAAAAAAAAAAATCATACCTGATGGGCGAGGTATTTCCTTTCCTAAACTTTTAGGAGTTAGATCCAACGGGTTGGCTGCAAGCACTGTTTCTGAAAAAGAAAGTGAGCAAAAGTCAAGGAAAATTCTTAAAGCTAAACATTAACGTTGGGCGTCGCTTTGTGTAGGAGTCATTTTAGATAGGGTCATAGAAGAGTCCTGTATAGTGTAACAAGTATTTATTAACAGGTTTAAGTTACACATGGACATTACATTTAACTTTAAGAAAAAATTACAGAGCAAAAGTCTGGTACAACCTATCAAGTGGGAGCCTTAGCTTTTACTGAAGTACTTCTCTGGCTACTCACCAGAGGGCAGCCTTGTTGTCACAATTAGTCCAACAGTTTATGTTAAAGGATTGGTTACAATTTTAGTAATGTACACTGTCCAAAATTTTTAACTAATGATACCCGAGCTAGTATTGGTTTCATAAGTGGAAATTTTCAAAACCTATCTTTTTATTTCTTGAATTGAAGCCATTGGATCATTTGTTCAAGTGATTATTTAATCATGCAGTTTTTATCCTCTCACTTTTTCTCATTTTTATGTGAGACATTTTCACTGTACTTTATTATAGTATGACATATCTAATACATAATTTAATAGGAAATTTTCATTTCAGTTGCAAATTCATCTGTTAATTCTGTTAGCCAAATAAGTTCTAGTGCAGTTTTATCAAAGGGCTTAGAAGAATTGGATGAGTTGGGGCAGTCTCTTTTAAAAAAAAGTTTACCTGTAACTTCTGCAGTTAAATATGAATTTCCCAGGTAAGATTAACTTAGTCTCTTTGAAAGTGTTCATGTCATGCATTACCAAACTATTATTTCTTTGATATAATGATGGCTAATCATGTATTTTTGTTTCATGGCATAAGAAGGGCAATATCACACTGAATGTATATTTTTTTTTTTTTTTTTTCAAATTTTAAATCAATCAACAAATTCCCCCACCCCCTAGAATGTTAGAAAAAATTATTCTAAAGTTACATTAAGTTACCCTTCATTGCCCATCAATAAAATAGTGTGCCAGAAATTATTTCATATTTTGTTTGACTATGTTTTATTTATATCATGTGGGCAGCAGTTAAGTGAACCTGAAAAAAAAATCATGTCTATATATGTGTGGGTGATGAACATTAATGACAAATTATGAATGAAATTTTTCGCACCTCCAAGATATGCAAATTTTTTACATTATCCCCAGACATAGCAAGCTATCTTACATGTTTTTTGTCATCCCCCCCAAAGATATTGATCTTAACAGTCAGTCAGTGATTATCAGTAAAATATTGTTGATGCTGCCATATGACTACTTTTTTAAAAAAAATTTATTTTATTGTTGAGAATACTGAATAGATTTTAATTTGTTTCACTTTGAATTGATTTTCATTAAAAAAAAAAAAAAAAAAAAAACTAATCATACATGTATGTGTCAATATCCCTGAGGATATACTTTTGTTTTCATTAAAAAAAATAATCATACACGTATGTGTCAATATCCCTGAAGATAAATTGTTCATCATAAAATTGTTAGGCTATGAAAATTATGAATTTTCACTATTTGTGGTGTGAGTTTTGCTTTTTTCTCCGTGATAAGATTTCTATCTTAAGTATGTTGTTGATTAATAATCAAATTTTTTTTTATTAATCTCCTTTTTTAGGATGGTATATTTAAAATCATGCTTAAAACTATATCTCTAGTAGTCATAAATTTTAATTTATTTTTCTAGCACACCTCAGAAAGTTCCTTTAAGTCAACTAATTCAACAACAAAAAGTTCAGACAAAAATTGAGAAATTGTCTTCACCTATATTATCTTCTACTGTTACTTCGACTCAAGTAACACCTAATTCACCATCTGTAACAGAAGCATCTCTATCCTCTGATAGGATATCTCCAGTGAACAGTCCAGCTCACAGTAGTGTGTTATCTCTAAAAGACGTTTTTGTACCCTTAGAGACAATTCGGCCAGGTATTTTTACTTTATTTATTTATTTATTATTATTATTATTTTTTTTAAGTTCCTTTTTAGGTTAATTCCTCTCCCCCTTTTTTAACAAGATGCAATTAACTGTACAAAAGTTAATTTCATTGTAGGATCTCTTCATAATAAATTTAAATCCTAACTTCAGAAGATTGAATAAAATAAATCAGTGTATGGTTTATGGGCCAAAGCCTTCTTTTGGTCTACAGATTTAGTGCAATGTACTAAACATTAGATTCAAGGGTACTTACGTATTATCGCAACCAGGCCAAAATTTGCATAAATTGCCAAATTTGGCGACCCTACTTACGACAATCCTACGTGTTATACGTAGTTTTGTAAAAAGTGCATGTGAAGATTCACAAAATTTTCCTGCATTTTCGTGCAAATTTTTGTAATTTATCAGAAAATAGCAGTGTACATGGATAAAAAGTCAAGAGTGTGCGCAGTGCCATTTTTGTGCAATTCTGGGATGTTTTTTTAAGTAAAAAATAAGTCGACGTGTACATGGTTATGGCGAATACGGTTTTCAATCAGTGCTAAAAGCAATAGCCAAAAGATTTCCGCCGAAAAAATAATTCTGCAACTTATTCAAATTCGAAACGGAAGGGTTTAATTGCTATTTTATATTTTAAAACAAAATAATATAAAAATCTGTATTAAAAATTATCTGTAATTAATAAATGTACATTTTCTTTCTATTCATACTTTTTTACTGAAACTTACAAATAGCGCGAACCTGGTTGCGATAATACGTAAGTACCGATTCAAGATTTGAATTTAATTTTTACATATTTTAAAAATGAATTGTAAATTTCCAATTTATTTGCCCCGTTGGTATATTAAAATTTTTGAGTGTTTCATCTGCTATTAAAATTTTTCTCCAGGCTTTATAATTGCAGTTTAAGTGGATGGATGAAGTAAAAAATAAGAGTTAAAAATGGACTATTTTCAATATTTTTTTTATCCCTGAGTGTTTATTTGGCTTTCTAAATTATAAATTTTGCAACATTCTGTCATTAAAAAAAGTGTATCAAACATTATATAAATACAAGACCATATTGAAAATTGAATAAGTAATACAAGTTATCAAAAGAAATGGGGCTAAAACAAATTATTACTTTATTATGTATAAACAAATATATATAATTTAATATATAATGAAAAAAGTTGTGAGCTTGGAGATTCAACCTTTCTCTGATTTTAACTAGGAATCTCAGGCTGACAGGTTTTGCCAAAATTCACCATGATTTTTGAATACCTTAATGTGAATATAATTGCAAATATAACATGTGCACTTATCAGGACTAATGAAGAAAGTAAAGCTGAGATTTTAAGTAATATTTATGTATTCTTCCATTTACTTTAACCTAAGCACTATGGTTTATTTATTAGTTACTGCAAGCAGAATGTTCTAGACTTAAACCGATTTGCCGACATCACTCTTTTTTACTTGTGGTATTAATTGTTTTAGCATTATTTCACTTTGAAATCTAATTTACTTCCCAAAATTAATTTTTTAAGGGAATAATAATAAAAAAAAGTTCCATCAACCTTTTTATAACTATTAGGTCACACCATTTTTCAAGCTTCACCTGAAAAATCATGAAAAATCTGGCCTATGAAAAATTTTTAGGGAAAGGTCAGCAAAAATAACTTTTTTCTGGAGGAAGTTGAAATTCATCATATTGTACAGATCAATCTTCTGAGGTAATAAAAAGTTCCTATTTTAGGAATGATTGTCTGGTAGTGGTGAAAGGGTTGCTCTGGGCAAAACAGTGGAAAATCATTGGCTTAGAGGGTTAAAGAATGCCAGGTTTAGTGCATGCATTAAATATCAACAGGATGCTGTGCTATATTTATCAAAGGTATCGCAACATCATCTTTGTCCTTTAAATAAATCTGAAATATACGTAGGATTATATATCGTAAGCAGTGTATATTGCTAGTCATGCATACCTGTTCATGAATTATACTTAACTGAGATGGTATAAGCATTTACATGCAAATATAATCACATAGTTTTAATTGCATAATTTTAATGCTGCTTTATAATATATATATATATATATATATACAGTCAAAAGTCGTTAATTCAGACACCCATAATCCGGAATGATCTATAATCCGGACCTCAAAGCTACAAACTTTCTGCGCATGCGCCGCGTTGATGCATGCGCGTAAGGCCTTTACCGCTGCGAATTTGCGTGTGCGCGTGCGTAAAATACGTTTACGAAAGCGCGTTTAATGTATAACGGACGGGATAAGCTAAGCTAAAATTCTCTAATTATCTATTTCAGTTAATGTTGCAGATTGCGTTGTTCCTTAATCTTCGAATTGGATCCGAATTATTATTTTTTGCAGACTGTTAGAGCAATTTTATAAAAGTAAGCTTGAACTTTCGATTATGTCAAATAGAATTTCCGATATATATTTACTAATATGTAAAGGATATACAAAGCGAAAGTATCTTTCGGAGTCCATTAAACAAAAAGTGGAATTGCTGCAAAAAATGGATAAAGCCATATCCTTTGTTTATCTAAACTTTGTTTATCTTTAACACCGCAGCGTGCGGCGTGCAATGAATTGGAAGTTGATCTGTCAGCACTATCCTTATCTTAAGGGCAGATGTTTTTCCATCTTTGATATGATTTAAATCAAATGCCTCCTCATTATAATTCACTTCTGATAGCGAAGAAAGTGACAGAGGTTATTGAAAATAAAAAGTTTCGATTGACAAATTAGTCGGTATTCTCGACACAGCAATTATAGGACTTGAACAGCGAAACTTTGTAACTGAACAAGAAATTATGTCTGTTTATAGAATTAAAGAAAATGTATTATCACATAAAAAATGAAGCAACTTAAACAACTTACATTGAAAGAAATGTTTAATAAAGTAAACAAATAAATATTAAGCTTTCTTTTTGTAAATTTTGATACCCTTTAGATCATAATTGTTCTTTATTTCGTAAATTGCGGTTTCATATTTTTAATTTTATAATTTCTGCATGCCATTTTACCAGATTTAAACTGATGATCTATAATCCGGAATCGCCGAAGTCCCGACGAGTCCGGATTAACGACTTTTGACTGTATATATATATATATATATATATAATGTGATTCTAAGACCAAATATTTTCACAAATTTGTTAATAAAGCATTTGATTTTTTGGTACATTTTGATTTTGCACCTGCCACACATTTTTGGCACATGTGTGCATAACTAAAAAATACAATGTACGTGTGCCATTATTACTGGAAATTATCTACAGTTAAAAAAAACGCACCAAAATACATAGCAGGTGCATAAAGATAAAGTACCAATTTTCCATAACCATAATCACTCTTGATATTGTAATGTCTATGTGTGTGTATATATACAGGGTGATTATAATTAAAGTTTAAGTTTAAAAACGCTATAAAAAAAGAACCACTGATGAAAATGATGTGAAATTTGAAAGGAATATTATTGAAGAAGGCGGAAAGCGTATGGCAGAAGAAAAAATTTAGTTTTGAAAGTTAGCCACAGATGGCGCTGTAAGCGGCCAAATCACGACGAGAAATGATTCGTAAAACAACGGCTAAGGTGGAAGTTACACATTAAAACGTATTGACAAATTAGAATTGTTGAATAATTTTATTTGCATGACTGTACATATCACATCGAAAGGGACAAATCGGTTTCATGAGTTTTGCAGCGACGTACCGCATAAGAACCATTCATCAAAGAAGTTCGGAACTGTCTCGAGACTAGCGCAAAACATATTCAATATGGTGTCCACCATTGTGTGCAACAAGTTGAAAGCGACAAACAGCATGTTCCACAACGGATCGCAGTGTCTCCGGGGTGATGTTCAGAATGTGTTGTGAAATGCGTGCCTTTAATTCCGCTAATTTGCAATTGGAGCACGGAACACGACATCCTTCAGATATCCCCACAGCCAGAAATCACACGGAGTAAGATCAGGCGATCGGGACGGCCAGGCTGTAGGGAAATGACGGCTGATAATTCGAGCATTTCCGAAATGGCGCCTGAGCAGCTGCTTCACGGGATGTGCAATGTGCGGAGGAGCGCCATCTTGCATAAAAATGATTTCATCCACACATCCATGCTGTTGCAGAGCTGGAATCACGTGGTTGCGCAAAAGAGACGCATACCTCTGACCAGTGACGGTTGCGGTAACAGGATCGGAAGCACCCGTCTGCTCGAAAAAATATGGTTGTAGGGGTGAATGATGCCATAAAGCCACACCATACAGTGACCTTTTCAGGATGAAGTGGTACGGGGTGCTTTGCCAATAGATTTTCTGTTGCCCGTATTCGACAATTCTGGGTATTCACGTATCCTGTCAGATGGAAATGGGCTTCATCTCTCCACAAAATTTTCCACGGCCATTCATTATCCACTTCCATGCGAGCCAGGAATTCTAACGCAAACGTCTCCCTAGCTGTCAGGTCAGGCGGAAGCAACTCCTGCACATAGCCAATTTTGTACGGATAGCATTGCAGGATGTTTCGTACAATTTTCAGCACCGTGCTCGTAGGCCTGTCCAATGTTCGTTCAATTCCTCGTGCATTGCACGGTTGCACACCACCGGCCGACCCCTCCTGTAATGCTGGGGCCACTTCTTCAACTACCGTCGAATGCTCCCGTTTTCTCCTTCTACCAGATTGCACATCAAACGAACCTGTCGTTTCGAATTTTTGCATCATTTTCTTTAGACCTACGACACTCATTGGACCAATGCCTTCTTTTATACCCTTCAGTGTCCTGAAATTTTGCAGAGCTACTCTTGCACAATCATCATTCTTGTAATACAGCTTTACCAGCAGAGCGCGGTCCTGCAGTGAAACACCCATGGCAAACGTCTGAGACGCAAAATGAGGAACAGCCTGGTACCTGACGGCTTTATAACACTGAAATTTAACTAACATTTTAATTTACCTCTTCTTCCGCTTGCAGCGCCATGTGTTGCTAACTTTTGAAACTAAATTTTCTTCTGCCATACGCTTTCCGCCTTCTTCAATAACATTCCTTTCAAATTTGACGTCATTTTCATGAGTGGTTCTTTTTTTATAGCGTTTTGAAACTTAAACTTTAATTATAATCACCCTGTATATATACAGTGGTACCTTGAGATACGAGTGTTCAACATGCGAGTTTTTTTTAGATACAAACAGTCACTAAGTCCAGCTTTTGACCTGAGCTATAAGCCTGAATTGAGGGAACAATAGATAAAATAACAAATGGAATTTCCACAGGAGATTGTAGAGGAGTTGGAAGTAAAAAAGGCTGTCTCTTCAAGGGAGATAAAGTAAGGATGGAGGGGAAATATTCAATACGGGGAAAAGTTTCAGACTTGTTGAAAAGAAACACCCTGAAAGGGTTGCAATTTGTCATGCAGTGAGGCTATTTAATGACTCTTGCCTAACTAATTTCAGAAACATTCTAAAAGGGAGAAGGAACTAAATCTATTTGGACAGGTTTCTGTTGAAACATCCTTCAGATGAAAGTGACAGAAGCATGGCCAAAATGAAAAGAACTGCTGAAGGAAAAAATAAAATTAAACAAAAATGAGATAGTGGGAATTTAACGTGTATGTCATATGTTAATCTAATACGTATGTATGTGTTTATTTCTTTAAATTATCATTTATTAGGTTTTATTAAAAAATTAAGTTATTAGGTTTTAGTTTATATATATACAATTGTTTTCATTATAAACATATTTTTTTGTAAGTTGGAAAGATTTTTTGGGGGGCAGGAATTAATCGTATTTCAGTGGAAACATTTATTTGAGATACAGAAATGTTAACTAGCGAGCTCATTCACGAAACAAAGTAAAATCATATCTCAAGGTATTGCTGTATATATACGAATCAAATTCCTTATTTCCACTGTATATATATGTCATAATAAAAGCAAAGGAAATGACGGAGCACTGTAGATGCGTAGTTATCCTATATTGAAGAGGAAGTAATCTGATTGCGTCGTAAGCTAATGTGTTGACTTCGTAAATAAAACTTGGCAGTAGAAGCGATTTTAATTCCATTTTTATTTCCAATTGATATTTGTGGCCACAATCACTTGGCACTCTAGTCGTGCCTTTCCACAGAAGATTTACATTTTTGATATTGTTGGGATAGAAAGCAAGAGAGCGAAATTACATCTTAGCAGAGTAGAGAACAAAAGCTGAAGTGCGTAGTTATGCAAGATGGAGGCACGCGAAGAGAAAAGTTTTGGTTTACAAGGACAGTTTCAGTTCCCAATGATTACGTCATCAGAGCTGCGCCGATCATAGAGTGATGTAGAAATGACGCAATGCAAAGAAGTTATTACGATTTTAGAATAGAGAGGAAGAATTAATGTTTATAGTTATATTATAATTCTGATTCATACATTTTTATCTTACATATTTCCCCCCTTCAAAAAAGAAAAAGGCGATTAATAACTGTAATGTTTTCAGTTATTCCAACACATCGTGGGCGAATGGTGAGGCTATTCCATTACGCGTTCTGGCAGATGGTTAACGAAGCTGGGGTGATTGAAACACGGAGAAAAATGACGACTCAGGACTTTTCACTTTTACAGCAAGCATATCTTTATTTTAATTTATAGCAGATGGCTTTTCCAGATGAAGTTAATCAAATAACTTATTCAGTAATTGAACTATTAGATACGACTGACTTTAAACTTTAATACATCATAACGTTCTAACAAAGAAAGAGGAGCATAGCGGAAGCATTAGCAGGACGAAGGCGAGAAGGCATCTGTCTAGGAGAACTTATGACGCAGCATTTATATGAAAGGTTTGCACTTGTTGATAATTAAAAGGTCTCACACTACGAAAACTTTGATAAGGAGTGGCTTGCACTGGTCTGGGATAATAGCACCTCGGAACAGTTTGCCTTGGAGAAACAAATTGATAATTATTATTTCCTAGACCATCCAACGGCATCTGAACTGGAAACAGTTTCCTAGCAAGAGTAATCCAGTCTTTCGGTGTGTCTATGTTTTGCACTGTTAACAGCATTCTTTGAGACTCAGGAAGTCCTTCCGTAAGTGCTTCCACCATTGTGGAATCTGTTAGTTTCAAGCTGGCTCCTAATTTCAACTTATTACGAAAATAAACATCAATATTATTAAATTTCTCGTATTTTAAAGACACAAAATCACTAAAAGTAACAGATTCCGATGTTGTGAAGTATGTCTCAAAAAATAGCCTTTATGTTGTCCCAGTCTTTATCTAAAACAATCACGTAAATAGAGGGCTAAAGCCTCTCCTCTAATACACTCTGAGAAAAAAACAAATTTCTTTTCCTTTTCTGGAATGTTCTTTGCGGCACATTTCTCTTCAAACAATAGAAGATATTTGTCTATTGGAAAATTTGTACTTGTGCCATCAAAAATAGGGAATTGGAATTTCATTGTATCCACAATAGCTACGGATTGTTTCTTATCAGTTGACATTTTTGCCGTTTTTGAGCGTGTTAACATTCCAATCACAAAATCTTGAATTTAAGAGTTCGCATACACATCAATTTGAACACTAAAATCAATAACTTTAGAAGCACTTGATAAAATGCATAACTTTGGAGACGAGGGAAAGTACTATAACCTTTCCCTTTTTACCGAATAGCTTTCCTGCTGGCAAGACGCTTATAAATCATGCTGCTGCTTACGATAACGTTCTGATTCAAACTGCAATTTATGTATTCAAATATTATTAAGAAATATCTTATATGAAAAAGGATGATTTGATATGCATGGAAAAAATAAAGATTGTGATTTTTCAAGATATGTTGTGCTAAATTGCGTCATCGTGCTTTCCACTCTGCCACCTTCAAACCACAGTTTCATTACAATAATATGGCGCAGACGATTTTCGACCCTACAGGCGTGGAACTTCAGTGCAGTTTATTTCAACTAATCTCACATCGTTTAACGAATGTAAAAAATAAAAAAGGTAACTAGTCATCTGAATTCCCAATCAAGCCACTACAGTCTTCTCGGTCATCTACGCAGTATCGTAAGCTGTTGAGAGTTCCACAGCTTTCATCTATGCATTTTGAAATCATCACATATATATATATTATTATTAGAAAAAGGAATTATATATCATCTCCAAGGCAAAGAAATTTAATTAAAGCTATGAATAATTTTTCTAATAATACATAGCTTTAATTAAATTTCTTTTCCTCGGAGATGATATTTTCTAATAATAACTTATTGTTTTATTACTTAGCAACTTTAGTGAAAGTATTAAGCATTTTAAATTACTCATATATATATATATATATAGAGAGAGAGAGAGAGAGAGAGAGAGGTAACAATTTTTAGAGGTAATAAGAATTTTCACACATTCATGGACAAAAAAAGAGAGCAATGGTTATTTTTATAGATATTTAGAAATTATTAGTATTTTTTGTGCTGAACTTTTGTTTAAGAATGTGTATTCCTTTTTTTCCTCCCATAAGAAGCTAACTACTAGCAAGAAGAAAAGTTGCAATCTTTTTAATTATTAACCTTGTTTTAATTTCTCTTATATCTATTTCAGGCTCCATATCACCTTTAAATCTACATGAGAAAAATGGCTTGAATATTGTCATTCATTTTGGGAAAGATTCTCCTAGGCCAGATATTACTGTAATGGTAGTTTCTACAATGAGCAAAAATTCTAGTCCTGTAAAAAATGTTAGTTTTCAAGCAGCAGTTCCCAAAGTATGTTAATCAGAGCATTTTATTAAGCTTCAGATTTTAAATTAAATTGTAGGGTTATTGTTATGCCTGCAATTAATTTATTTGATAAAACAATAATAAAATAATTCATATATAAATATCCATGCTTTTTGTATGATCATGAATATTCAAATAAGACAAAATGAAATTTTCAGTGCTTTAAATATTTTATCACTGTTTTTGTATATATTGTAGAGAATTTTTAAATACGGGTATTTGCCCCTTTACGCTTAGTAACAGATCAAATATCAGTTCAAATATCTGTAAGAGACTGATAGATATTAAATTTTACTCATTCTTGATAATTTAGTTCATATAAAAAGTTGTTCATGTTGTAATTCCTTTTTTAAATTTGACTTTAATGTTTAATAACTTTTTAATTAAATAACTTTAATGTTTATGAACACAAAATTCTTATTTTCTGCTGTAAACAGGCAGTTAATTTTATCAGCATTATTCTTTAGCATTCTTTTAGTTAAAAATTAATGTGAATATAAATATAATTTTATTTAGTCTATGAAAATCAAGCTTCAGCCACCTTCAGCTACTGATCTGCCACCACATAATCCAATTTTGCCGCCAGCTGCTATAACACAAGTTATGCTCTTAGCTAATCCTTTAAAAGTAAGTGTTCTTATGCATTTGACAAACATTTACAAGCAGTACTTAATTTTCTTTACATTTCCATGTCCTTTCTGTAACTATCATTTGAAATATGAATTAACATTTTTGATGAATGTGGAGTTCAAACAGTGTGGTGTCATAATAAATTTGTTCTGCACTTTTTTAGATGTTAGATTCAAAGCCTTATCATGTCTAGTTTGTTTGTGTAATGTGCTGTAAGCAACCTTGTTACAGTGTCAGCAAATAGTGATAGATTCTTAAAAATAACACCTGTGGAGGATTTTCTGACATATATATTAATTTTTTTTTTTTTTAATAGAACGCTGTGAATGAAAGGAATACTAAAGAAAACATAAGTTTTCTTTTAGTATATTCAAAATTTCTATTCTAACTGTTTTCTTAAATGCTCGTAATGCTATTAATCATATGCATATAATGTTATGGCACTTTTAGCTTTGAGATAGATTTGAGAGTAAATCATGTTGTCGAGACTTTCTGAGAACAGTACATTTTATTTATTTATGTCTTTGTGTCAGAGTATAAAAGTTATCTTAGAAATAATTATATTACTGGATCATTACGTTACATTAAACATTTGGATACATTTTTATAAAAGTTCCTTAAAAAAAGAAAAAAAAAAAAATCTTATTATTATTCATCTTGGTTTTGTTTTCCCTTGTTCTGGCATTATTTTCCATATTGTCTTAAAAAACTGCTAGTTTTGTAGCATACATTTCTTTATTAACTGTAATCTATGTATGTAAAAACTGAAACGGGAAATGTGTAAACAAAATTCAGAAAGCCATGATCTATAAACTGTCAAATTCTGTAATTCTTTCAGTGCTTTATTCCCACATGTACAGTTTATAGTATTAGATAATGGCAGATGGCATTATTAAAAAAATTTCAATTTTTCCTTCAAATTTTAAGATCTATAAAATGTCTCCGATTTAATACCAATTTTGTATCCAAATCTCTTAATCACAGTGTCTAGTTTTACTGGAGTTAATTATATATATCAAATGCGACATAACAAAGATTTCCCAAATTTCTGTGAAAAAAAATATTTGCATCATTTTTTATTGTCATTTTGTTAATAATTTTTTTTTATTTAAATCTTAAATATCTGAAGTAATTTACAATGCTATAGATGTCGCTTAATGTGATCATGGTTACTATAATCATTTGGATATTGTTATGGATTTGCCAAAGTCCCACCCATTTGTATATGGAAGCATGGAAAATATATTCCTTTTTATAATCAAGATCAAACTATTATAGAATATATTTTTTAAAACCAATGTGACAAAAGATTTTAAAAAAATTTCCCTCTTATTTTGTGTGTCTTCATTATGCTTTCCCAATGTAGTTAAATAATCACCAAATAAGGTAAAGAAATAGATTATAAAAATTGCTAAGTGACAGAGAAATGTTGCCAGTTGAGGAATTAAGTCGCCTAACAGCTTTTTTTCAATTTCAGTCAATCAGCCTCAATTTGTTGTAGAATTTTAATAAGTATGGATTTCAACAGCAATTAAACACAAGTCTTTTTTCTTCAGAAGCAAAAAAATTCTGCAGATTGTTTTCTTTTCTCTTGGGAAAAAAATTCTCTGAAAGCATCTGTTATAAACGAGGAATAAACTAAAATGTTTTATTTAAAATTTTGCATTTCCACATTCTCTTTCAATGATGTTTGTGTTTCAGATATTGAAATTAGGGATACAGTTTTTGTCAAATAATTTCAGAAACGTTATGAACTGTTCATACTTTCATATCTGCAATCATTTCCTCAACAATGAGCGGCAGTTCTGTTGACAATGAGCTTCAATCATCAAATGCAATTATGTGTTCAGATGTGTTTTTTAATTCTTAAAAAGTTAGCGAATGATACTAATGTTAAATCTCGAATAATTCTGACTTAATCAGGTAAAATTAATTCCCAGTTTTCTTCTTCCAGTGGTCACCAGTATAAGTCAGTATCCTCTCTTCCTTTTAAAATTCAGTAGGTCACAGCATACTAAAGGAATAATTCCATTTAAAATTTAAATGAATTGCATTTACAATAAAATATTTGCATAAATATATTGACCATAGTTTAGTTCCATATGAATTTTCAGCAGACCTTCAACTTGTCTTTATTTTCCGGGAGTTCAGCAGCACTGTTTAACAGATCTGTAGACAGCACTCTGAGCTTTTTGGATGCAACAACTAATGTTACATTGCAAGCAGTTATATTACATTCATAGCCAAGAGGAAGAATTGCATAGGTCTGCAAACAAAACTTAAAATTATAGTCTAAGTAGATTATTGGTAGGGTATTGAAGAAAAGTACAGTTGCCAAAATATATGAAATTGCTAAATCTAGCTTTATCCACAATACTTTAAGATTGAGGAAAAATTCTTAATGCTGCTGCATTGGGTTTGGACAACAAATCTAAGTAACTTCGCAGTGCTAAGTACAAAGATGTCGAAAGTTACTTCTAGAATGGTTTGATCATATATGCACTTCCAATATACCTTTAACTGGACATATAGTTCAGTCAAAGGCAAATGACATTGCATCATTAGTGATATGTAGTGAAAAAACTAAAGTTAACAAAGAAGGAGCCAACAACTGGTTGCATAAATTTGACTAAGTAAGAGATTCCGCAATATTAATGAAACTGGAATTTTGACAATCTTTTCGCAAATTGTACTTTCGGAATAAAAGGTGACAAGGGCAGTGGTGGAGCATGTAATAGACAACATTTAACTTTTGTCCTTGTGTGTAATGCAGATACCAGTGATAAATACTATCCTCAGGTGCTTGGTAAGTCCAAGCAACTACATTGTATTAAAAATATAAATAGTGCCTTTACCTTGCATCCATTCTTATCATAAGAAAGTTAAGATTGACAGCTCATCATATCATAAGTGGATTTTTCATTTTAATAGACATGTTCTTATGACACTGTACTGGTGTACCATAACATACATGATCTGAACTTAACTAGTGTAATGATTCGTTCCCCTTCCCCAATGCAACAAAACATTTTGAGCCTTTGGATCAAGGCATTATTGCATTTATGAAGTGGTCTTACTGCAAGCGACTTATGATAGCTGCAATTTTCTCTTCTGCAAAGGAGACAGAAATACCATCTTGAAGTGTGTTTGATGGAGTAAGTGCTATCCCTGGAAAATTTGTGTCATCCTAACACATACAGTATAGTTTTAGCAGAGCTCAGAGACATAAAAGTTAAATGGGTACAATGATACCATTTTTCCTGACAAATACAGTGGTCTCCAAAATATTGTGAACCCTCTGAAGAGTTTGTTAGTACAGTGACGATGTTGCCGTATGTGCTCCAGTGGAATTTGATGTATGAAGAGTTGTATTTGGTATGCAAGAAATGTCATAAGAAGGAAGTGAAGAGGACAATATCATTCTGCCCACCCACCAGGAAATGTTACATGCGTCAGATATTGTAGAATGTTTTGCTACAATGTCCGAACTGACCTCTAGTTTTATGGCAGTTGTCTGTAGAGATGCCCTTGAAGTAACCAGGCATTTTCACTCCTGTCTGCAACAGTGCACAATATGCAAGAATTTTTCATCAAAAAATTATCTGCAAGTGCATTTTTTTCAAGTCACACTGCATTAATTAATGTATTATTCTAGTGTTTTCTATGATGAAATATATAATATATTGTACTACTTACGAAACTATATATTGTAAATAGTTAATGTGTAAAAAAACTATTCCAAAAATAAAATTTGGGTACACAGTTAACATATTTTTTTAACATGAATTCTTGATTTTTCTGTCCTTGAGATTTGTGTTCATGAGTGTTTACTGTATGTGTTTGTAATATTTTCATATTAAATTAAATGCGATTGCTATTTTGAAGACTTCATCATTTAATGCTATAATTAGGTTAATGTTATCAAAATCACCATGGACAAACATGATAATATTAAGGGCCATCTACTGTAGTAAAGAAATTAGTAAGCTAATGACAAGAATATGAACCTTATTATACTCTCTGAAATTTATGTAAAATATGTCTGTATATTGTTGGTTTTTAATAAATGCTTTAGGCAATTTGAGAGAGAATTTTTCTTCTCTTAGTTAGAATATTCTACTTAAAGTGAAATATTGTCCATGGAAGAGAAAATTTGCCTTTCAAATCATTTTGAAATGCATTCAGCATTTGGTTAAAATCAGAATAAATTTGAAGGTGAATTTTTTTTGTATTTTTCTTAGAAGTCACTAAAATTTGTATGGAATAACACACATCTTATTCACCTTTTTAGGAGGATCAGCTCTATAAATAATATTTGTAAAAATATAATTATATTTGAGGGTAACCTTTCCAAACTGAAGTGATTAAATTTTCATATTTAAGATAATTTAAAATAAACATAACATATGTATTAAATTTGAATTTTACTGTGTATATTTGCTTAGTAATTAACAGTAATTAACAGTCGTTTATTGAAATTTTTTTTTATCTTGTATTTTAAACATTTGTAGAATGAAAATTTTGTTCTTCTGTTGTCACTAATGTATGACCTTTCTCGGATTCTTACAGGAAAATGTGCGTTTCAAATATAAAGTTAATTATACTATAAATGGAGTAGATTTTACGGATTTAGGTGAAGTGGACAGTCTGCTTGCGCCACGGTGACCTGTTGATGAAAAAAATGTCAGCTACAGATCCATATATTTCTGAAATAAGGCCACCTTGTTGTTGTGCAATCATGCAGAAAATGTGCATAACATAAATTATTTACATTTATGACTGTTACATATACATATTGTGCATAAATATAGCCATGATAAATAAGAATATATTTGGAAATATTTTCAGTAAAATGCATTTCGCATCAAGAGTCATAGTTCTTATTTTTACATAGATGAGTTTTTTTTTTTTTTTTTTTTTTTGTCTTATAATTTTTTACATTTGTACATTTATTTCAGTAAAAAATGAGTAAATGGATGATATTAAAAAAATGTGTTGCTTTACCAAAAATATTGCTAATATGGCTGGTACAATATGTAATTAATATGTATTTTTTAATTTTCCAGATGTTTCTATTCATCATTACATTGGCTTTTATTTTTATGTATGATGATAAAAATAAACTAGAAATTTATTTACATTTCTAGATTAACATTTTTTTAATTTACTTTTCCTTTGTGAACTGCTTATTAAGGAAACTTGTTTGTGTTCAGTAATATGATGCACGTCCCATATAATTTCTTGGATCATTCTATTTACATTTTATTGAAAAATGTTATTTGTTCAGTTTTTTTTTTTCAATGATTACCCTTGTAGAAATGAATAATATGAATTCCAATTTCTTCTCTAAAACTTTTTTTTTTACTGAAGTTAATTTATTATGAGATTTTACTTGGTTCCATAAATACCTCCAAATTATTATAGTTTCAAAACTTTAGTAGCATTTTTCAAAAGTTAATAATTTATGTTAAATAATCGAAATAGTTATTTTTAAAAATAAGTAATGAAATCTAAATTATTTGCTGTGATGAATAGATTTATTTAGTCTATAGAAACCCTAGTTTATTGCTATAAAAAAGGTATAGCTTCTTTGAATTCTTAGTCATAAAACTGCTAATGTAATTATAAAAACTTCTTAAGAAAACAAGCATATTTGTTATTGAAATCCCTAATTTATAAGAAAATTGGATTGTTTTATTACACACGAATATATTTTTATGTGTATATATTAGTCTGGGAAATAATAAAGGTATATCTTTCCGCTTTTGTAAGATTAATAGAATCTGGAGAAGTGAAGAGGAGTAACATTACCTCCTGTATCTTTATAAAAGCTGATTTATGTTGCAGTGGCTTGAATATGTATAGCATTATTGCTGTTGAAAGAACTTGAATTTATAGAGCTATAAAGTATTTGGAGCAAAAGACATAAAAATCAGCATTTTGTTACAGAGATTCAAACCATAGATCTTCTATTTGCTAGTTAAACGTGCTGCTAGTTATACCACGAGAACATACACAAGGAAAGGTTACTCCTTGTAAACTTTTCTACTAGAAATTAATTAGATACTACAAAATTAAGTACTTGTCCGCAAAATTTCATTAGTGCTGATCCAGAATTTAAAAGTGCAGAGTGTGTAATTTATTTATATGACACAGACCAAAAGAATCTCTTAAATACTGGTTTCACTGTAATAATTATAGGCTTTTCTTTGTTGGCTTTGTTGGCTTAACCTGTTTGCTTTTAAAAGCCAACAGTTTTTAACAGATATTAACCATTATAATTAACAGGGACTATTTGATATGAAGTATTCTGAAAAGCTATAAAGGAAAGGAATATCCTCTGACTATTTATTGTAAGACTAATAATAAGAAAAAACAAGCTGAAGTCATATTTTTAATTATTTGTAATAAAGATAACCAAAAGCTTAACCACTTGTTTATTGTCTACATATTGAACCAAGTGTTCGAAAAGTAACTACCAGGTTGTTCAATAAGTTGGCGGAACGGAAATGAAGAAACCAATTTTTATTTGAAAAATGACTTTATTTGTCAACGTAGTTTCCCTCAACTTCAATACACTTATTCCAACAGTCTTCTAATTTATGGATCCCTTGACTGTATTGGTTTTTTGGCAGCTCTGCAAAATGTCCCTCCACGGCAGCTATTACCTCTTCATTGAAGAAAATCGTTTTCTACAGAGATATTGTTTGAGGTGTGGGAAGAGCCAGAAGTCGGAGGGAGCTAAATCTGGCAAATAGGCTGGATGTTGCAACAATTCGTACTTCAATTCAGTTATTTTAGCAATGCTTTTTTGAGCTGTGTGTGCAGGTGCGTTATCTTGGTGGAAAATGATTTTCTTCTTCTGTAATCCGGGTCTTCTTTCACGAATTCTTTCGTCTAATTGATTCAAAAGGTTACAATAATAATCTGAATTAATTTTTTTGCGAGTTTGAAGGTAATCTATAAACAAAATTCCTTTCGCATCCCATAAAACTGATGCTAACACCTTCTTAGGCTGATTTTTGCACACGAACTCACTTCGGCGCCGAAGAGTCGGGTTCACACCACTCCTTAGCCTCCTGTTTTGATTCAGGATCATGACGGTAGACCCAAGTGTCATCCATTGGGATAAATCAACGGATAAAGTCGCTTTTATTCTTCTTAAAATGCTCCAAATGTTGCTGGCAAAGTCGCATCCGAATATGTTTTTGCTCCATCGTTAGAGAATGTGGCACCCATTTTGCACAGAGTTTTTGAAATCCAAATTAACACTCAAAATACTGCTCACTGTGCCTAATGAAATGCCTAAAGCCTCTGTTAAATCTCTTTCTGTCAATCGAAAGTCTTCCAATACCATATCTTGTATTTTTCCGATGATTTCCGGTGTTGATGCAGTTTTTGGACGTCCCTCTCGCGGATCGTCTTCAAGGCTGGTACGACCACTTTTGAATAAACTAGCCCACTTGCAAACCATTGTTTTTGAAGGAGCGGATTCACCCAACACATTCACCATTTCGGTATAAATTTCCATTGCCTTTAAACCTTTCTGTACAAAGAATTTGATAACTGCACGTTGCTCAATTTTATCCATACCTGAAAAAAGCCACAACCCGTTAGATATAAAGGGTGGTTAAGTAATGAATAAATTAACAGAGCGAAATGAAACTTTTGACGTGTTCCTAAGAAAGAACAAATATGAAAATGGCGTCGAAGTTTTAGGTCTAATATTGACGAATAGATGGCGCTCCGTAAACTTACTGAACAGCCTTGTATATACCGGTCAGTCGTAGTACCATAGTATCTAATGTCAACTTGCCCATACAGTAGTTGTTAGAAATGATCTCTTGAATGTCTAAACATTTCTATTTTTATTTCTTCTTATTCTTGAAGACTGCCACGTGTTGTTTATATGGAATGCTGTTTATGAAATAATAGCAGTTGAAATTCTCGGAGCCTGAAGAAGTTCCTTGACAAACATTACTTTTTGCATGTCTCAGTAGTAAAAATCTTGTTAGAAATAATTCAGTCTCCACAAACCTCTTGCAGTAACTTCATAGGCTGCATGGCTGTCGCAGCATCATGTTTAATCCAAGCATAATAATTTCATTCTTAGTTGTACTTGAACTGGTGAAGGATTTCACAACAGCAGTCTAAATTTATTGTTTCTGTAAAGAATATTGGGCCAATTATTCTTCCCATGGATACTGCAATCCATACTTCAGTCTTCTGATCGCATAAAGAAATCTCAGGCTTAACGAGTAGTTATTAACAGAAAAACATCTAAGCTTGAAATCTATATTTGCACGTATCCTGATGATCCTGACGATGATAGAATCATATTTCTTTGGTGTGGAAAATGTATTTTAGAATATCAGTGTTGTCGTTTAGAAACTGTTGAAAGAACTGCTTGAAACTGTAGGTGTATAGTTATTTGTCAAATGACCTTTATTATTTGCATCTGAAACAAATTGATCATGTATATGCTGAATGACTGAAGTAAACTTTATGCAGATATAAAACTGAGTTTATTTATGGGTAATATTAGGTTTTTTAGCTATAATGAACTTGCTTTTTATCTTGCAAATGCAGCAAAATTGAAAAATATAAATGAATGGTTACTTAATTTCATTTACAACAACTGGGTGTTATCATTTATATCTTTTATTTTAGCATTTAAATAATAATGGTACTCCTCTTCACCTTACCATGTGTCATTGATTAATGAAAAGGTAATATTTTCTGCAATTTTTGTTCTTTGAAAATGTGAGCCAACAACAAAGACTTCCGATGTTTGTAAGAATGTATAATTTTCTTTTACTATAAATTATCATTTTCATAAATAAAATATAAGATAATTCAGCTTAGCCAGATAAATTTCTAATAAATTGAAATGATTTCCCCCCCTTCCTATAACGCTGAGCTTAATATTAACATATTCATAATAGTGCAGTAAAACTCTCAATTATCTGAATAGCTTGTCAATTTATTTATATGTTTTTAATTCCTTTTGTGGATTTAAGTAATATAAAAAGATATGTAAAAACAGCTTAGCAAATACTTTAAGAAGTTTCAATGAATTTAAATAAATGGGACTGCATGTTTATTGCTTAAAACAGAAGAATAATTTATTGTATGTCAAAAAGTATTTCATGCATAATTATCTCATTTAATTAGATGTCATCACATGTCAGTACTATGTGAATTGGTTCTCAAGTCTTTTGTTTTGCAGCACATTATATTCTGGAAACATTTTATTCATAGGAGCACTATTTTATATAAGGTGGGCTGTAAAGATGCTACAATTTCACTTAGGTAACAGTTAAGGGAGATTGAAGAGTTTGAATGGTGTTTTATATACTTTGCAAATTATTATTGGAGATGATATATATTTATAATTGCTGCCACTTGGTATGGCCCATCATGCCAAGTGACTTTTAATAGTGAGGGATAATGAAGGGTTGTTTTATGCTGTGAAACCAAGAAAATGTTCATCAATGAATTACCAAGATGATGATTGTTTATAATAGATAGTTATTATGGGTACGAGTGTCAATAATAGCATGATTGAACAGATACATCAAGAAACGTAGTGAGTATGTTGAAGATGTTTACTAATTCAAGCAAGTTAAATGACGTGGCATGCGTCATGTGATACACTTTTTTATAATACATTGATATATCTATTTAAACGATATCTTTGTGTCCCACCATTTTCGTTTGTTTCCTTAATTATAATTTTGTTCCTATCATGACATGGCTGCAAAATTTCAAAGCACAATTCTTTAGAACTCCTCAGATAATAAACATTAACAGAAAAGCAATTGCCTACTGCTTGTAGGTTTATAACTTTTTTGATGATGTGAATTTTTATTGCAACACCTTTTCTGAAAACAGGGTGATACTGGTGTGAGGCTAGGAATATGTATAGTATAACAGCAATGAGTGACTTGCTATTAACTTTAAATGTACAGTGGAGTTTTGATATATTTTTTTCGTGTATACTTTTTTGTTCTCAGGGAAAGTATTATTTATTCTTGAGTATAATGTGCTTTGACAAATAAAAATAGTTTTATCAATCCATAAGTCTACTTATTTAAAGGAAATAATATTTTATTCTTTTAACTGCACATTTTTTATACATAAATAGGATAAAGGAAAAAATAAAATGTCCTCATTCGCATTCAAATAAATTTGCATGTGGAGGGGGGTAACAGAGCAGTTCAATAATTTTGATTTTTTGATTAACCAGATGTTCCGTTCCAGTTAGTCTAGATAATTGAAGTTTTACTGTATAGATAGTTCTGCTAACGTTTCTCCTTTCCCTTATATCTCTGTTAAATATTTTATGTAGCATATTGAATTACATTCCAGTTTTATTTGTGTGATTATTTGTATAAATTTGATATTTTGTTACAAAAGCTATCTTAATAAAGCTTAGGATAATTGCTGATTATTACAATTTTAGAGATTTTTAAAATGATACTCATTCAAAAAAAGAATCATATCTAGTAATGTTTTGCATTTACTATATAAATTACATCAGAAATGGTATTAAAATTGTATTTTTCACATTTTAAGTGTACTGTTGTATTGTGTTTGTAATGTGTAAAAAAAATAATATTGTGATTTTATTAAATTTTATTTCTGTTTCCTATGTTTACATTTTATTGTTTTTCATAAATATTTTATGATTTAATATCAGTAAAGTAAGTTTGTCCGATTTTTGTGTTATTTCATTAAAAAAATTATTTGATTATATTTGCATTGATTAAAATATCTTTTAAATTTTTGTCTTACGTAGTTTATTTGGAAGTCTTTCTCTCAAAAACCTCAAGTAGACAATAAAAAGAGATGAGTAAAGGGGAAAATATGAATTTTTTATCAAAAGTTATGTGCAGACATGATTACTTTTCAACAAAATTGCCATTAAGATTTAGGTATTTGTCATACTGGTGGGTAAGTTTTGTAATTCCCACTTCAAAGAGTATTGCTGCCAGTGATGTGAGATGGGCTTGAATATTGTTTTGAAACTCATCATTTGTGTGGCCTCCTAACCATTTCTTTAATTTGGGTTAAAAAAAATGAAATTCACTCAGGACTGTACACCAAGTCAACAAACATGTCACATTTACACTGCTGTAGAAGCTATTGGGTTACAGCAGAACAGTGAAAGCAGGCATAATCATGGGTAATGAACACTCCAGAAGGGAGTGTTGGCCTTCCTTTTGTTTTAAATGACACTTCGTAGTCATCATGATGTCTGACAATAAATATCTGCATTGATTGTGGGACCCCATAAGTATTGCACAAATCCGATACACGCGTGAGTGAAACTGTCAATTTTTTCACTCGTACTGTAATATACTATTGCAGTTTTAGGTCGTTAACTTTAATTTCTAATTTTAAGACATAGAACAATGTGAAAAGTTTAACAGACGAAATGACAGCACCACGTGCAAAGCAAGGAAAAGGAACATTTATATTATAAAAAGAATGTGTTGAAACGTTTTTGTTTTTTCCTTTGTCCGTATTGTCGTATTTTTATCTATTTTCAGATACATTGTGTAAAAATATTTTGTAATTGTAAAATTATTATAATAAGTTAAAGAAATATCAAAACTGCTAACACTTTTGGCGACCTCCTGCGCAACCCATGGAGGTAGGAAGTAAGATGGAGTCGCCCTAAACAAGTTTCTCTGTACCCTGCTCTGAAGCACCGGCGATCCCTACGTGGTGACCAAAACATTGGGTCATTTACCATTGAGTTCTATGGGATTTGACGCGTTCGGGTGTAAATATTTTGTAATTATGTCGCAAATATACATATAAATGTATATATTTTCTTTTTCTACAACACTTCAGAGCCCTAAGTATGTGAAAAACAACATATTTTTAAAACAACATTTCATTCTGAATGGAATTAAATGCTATACTTTTCACAGGACAGTTTTCTCAGAATGGTTTAATTTGAATGAAATATTTTCACAAGTTTTTTGTTAATTACATTAGAAAAAAAATTAAGGTAATTCGATTATATTTCGGTTAAGGTACAAAAAATTAAGATCAAAGTTTATTGTATTATTAATATTAAAATTATGCATTATTTCTTTTCTATTTATAGAGCTTCTTCCTAAAATACTTTCTTAAATATGACATGATTTTTTGGCTTCTTTAAATCGAAAAATGTAAGTCAATTTATAATTAATGCTCTATTCGGTTCATTTTAAATTAGAGAATTATTAGGAATTAGCAAAATACTTTTAAATAAGTATTTCGCTAATTCCTAATAATTAAATAGGTATTAAATAGTATTTGACTTTCTCTGAACATTTCTGAAAGGGAATAAAATAAGTTTTTTTTTTTTAAGTATTATTTAAAACTTGTAACAGAGTTATTATAAAATGTAAAGGGAATAATTCTTTTAATTATACTTATCAGATTTTTTTTTTTTTTTTACCCTTCATTTCAACAATACATATTCCAAAACTCTTTATTACGTTCTTAAGTGCGCATCTCATAGCATTTGCTTTACAATACCTTTTAACAGATTGCTTTCCAATACGAACAATTCTTGCTTAAATAGTTTTATAACGTATTTGTTAACAGGATTTTAATTTATGTTTACAATTCAATCTTAAGGTTATTATATATTTAAATAACATTTATAATCATTATAAATTAGATACATTTAATCATTAGATTTCTTCACAGTTGTTTATAAGTGAATAAATTCTTCATTTCAAATACATTTATAAATAATTTAATGAATATTTAAGTATTTTGTTAAAGGCAAATACATGCTTTTTGCAAGCACATGCATAAATACCCATACATATTTCCTATTTATCATATCCGGCATGTGCAAATCTTTAATTTCTGTGCATTCACTATATTTTTCGTGTAAAGTAATTTACACTAATTTAGCATACACCCGAAAAGTTTTACATAAAAAATATATATGAATAAATTTGAATGAAAATTATAAGTATTTATTTTTAATACCCACTCAAAGGTCAGTTTTTCTTCAAAATTCCTCCACAATGGCATCTCTCTTTAGGCAGATAGCCCTTGCATGCGTTACTCTATTTAATAAAAAACTTAATCTGACCTATGTGCCTAATTACAAATATTTTAACATACATAATTTTATATTTACATTTAGCCATCAAGTTTCAAACTTTTCAAATCTTCTAGAAAATAAATTTTGGCAGCAGATCTCTTTTAGCAATTTTCTTAAAATCTATATTTTTGTAGTGCAACAGCTTAGAATTTTATAAAACAAATTCATAATCAAAATCGCTGTTGTTAGTTATCGAAAAATAACCAAGAGGTGATTTTTGCGTAAATGTCAGTAAACTATACAAATTGCTATTATCCATTACACTATGAATGTTTCTTTCATGCGAGAGTGTCCCTTTTTCGATTTCTATGGAACTGTCGTGTGTCGAAATACTATCAGAATCTTGTCAAGCGAGCTTCTGAATGTAAACAAAGAACACCCCGTCTGGTGACCCAAGCTTCAAAGCAGGGCTTCACTTCTAGCGCGGAATGGCCTCTCCTCCCCTTCCTACCTCCATGGCGCAACCGACAGTTTTAAGAAACCTTGCCATAAACCAGTTATATATTTTCTGTTGTTGGAGCTTTTTTTGAACTGCTTTGTTCTTGTGGTGAGTTTGAGTGCATTCACTGTTTTATTTCTGGAATGGAAATCCAGTTCTCATCTCATGAACAACCGATTTAAGGAAACCTTGAGCATTGTAATGGGAAAAGAGCATCAGCATTGATCCATTCGGTAAGCTTTGTGATCATCAGACAGTATCTTTTACCCATCGAGCACATACTTTTCTGTAGCGTAGGTATTTTGTAACGATCTTGATAATTTAGGAAATTCCATGTACAACTCAATAATTGTAAATCTCTGTTTCTGTCAAACTGCTTTGTCAATTCATTGAACATAGTTTTCTGTTGCAATAGACTTGCATCTTCAGATTTTCTACCCCTTCATGTTCAACACCATACTGAAAGTTTTCACCCTACATTGGCTTATTTTTTAATGAATTTCTGTTGCACCCTTCTGCTTGAAGAAAGCAAATAACATTATACCACTTGTACTTAGCATCAGTTGAACCAGCCATGTTAATGTGCCCACACATTTCAGTTCAAACTGGTGAGCTAGTATCGATAGTGTTAGAGGTTATGGTTAGATGTGTTCTCAGTTATCTGCTGTGCATCCCTACCTCGTACCACTTGTCTGGTTGTTTAGTGGCTTGATCTGAGGTTGAGAAAAAGGCACCCGTTATATAGTAAGCCCTTCTCCTAATCAAAAATTTTTCTATCCCTTTTTCAAAACAATTAACAGCATTTTTCTTAAGGCATTAAAATCTACATTAGAAAATCTATTTTTCAGCATGCTTGTATATAATTTTATTACTTATTAAACAATTTTAGTATGCATTACAAAAATTAGGTTTAAAAATTTTCTTTTTTTTCCCCCTGACATGCTATAAATAACTTAAATTTATGATAGTGGAATTTACCTAAAATTTTGCCATTTATTTGTATGTTTTGGAATTCCACTCAATTAAGGGATGGGAACTTCTAATATACACAATGTCCATAAAAGTCTGTACCTGTCTATGATTTCCACGACCATTGTTGTAGACTAGACATATACTTCCATTTACAGAAATGTTTAAAATGATGCAAATGTATATTAAAGTTAGGAAATCTAATTTTCTGTACATTCTTCTAATCCCTGTTTTGAGAAATTTTATACGCATTATTAAAAAAAAAAAAAGACTAAACTATTTAATTAATTAATTTCAGAATATGCAATTTTTGACATCATTTTCAATTTGCATTAAGCAGTTTGTTAATAAATAAGTTAGAATAAGTCCGATTTCCCCCCCCCCTTAAATGCCATTCAGTTACATTCTTTTCGAATTTACTCACATCTTTAATTTTGTTACATTTTGTATACTGAAAAATATTTCACACAAGAAGTTTATAAGTTTTCAGTATCTAAAAATGTGCTCTTAATATTTTCATGAAGTTTTATTACATTATAATCATAAGCTGAGATTTGCAGAGACGCAGCTAGGGGAGAGCAAGAGGGAACATCTGTCTTCGAATGCAGCATCTAGGGGGCGTTAAACTGACGAAAAATTTTAGAATTAAATGTTTTCTACTCTTGGCAAACAAGAGGAGGGCTTGAAATATTTCAATTGACCCCTGACGTTGAAACGCTTAATTAATGCAAATAATATTTTAAGTAGACTATATGCCAATACTTAAGCTTGTCAGTACTTTCTGGAACAAGAATTCTATACAGTTCTGTGAATAAAATCTCTATTTTGTAAAAAATACTTAACATTAATCAAATTATTTTATATTAATTTACATAGAAATGATTATCACTTAACTTCGGAAATATCGAGTAACTCTGATCTGGATGCTAATTTTTCATTTCATGTGTTTTGTAATGCTTTATAACAAGCTTATGCAACTTGTACATTACTTGAGAAAAAAGTTTTAGCGCGAAATGTTCTCTGATGCAAGCTCGTGTTCGTGTTGCACCTTTGCAATCTGTCTCGATTTTTCAGACTTGAGCATGCTGTTTGGAAGTTAGACGGATGATTAAGTATTTAAAAAAAGATTTTCCTTATGACACAGTTCAAATTTTCTGCTAAGCAGATTCTGTGAATGCTTTGGTCTGAATTAAAAACAACGACACTGGTGTTTATAAAAGCTTATTAAAGGCTTGGTTTATCCAATTATTGCAAAGCATTTGGGGACTGTCTGCTTTCCTGGGAGACTTTCTAAGGGAAACTGACTCGTATACACGTTACACATGGGGAAAACCATGAAAATGTCCTTGCAGCCAACCCTTTTGCCGGAATTCAAGAACCGGTTAATTAAATAAGATTTTTAAGCAGCACTGTTGGGTGTAAATTTGCAAGAGGATGTAAGAATCTTGCTGACATACCGTCACGTGATTGTAATGCTGATGCTGTAATCAAATCTGTCTGGTGGAGAAGTTCTTGAGCTTTTGGGAAACCCCATCAGTGGATAGGTAAATCGTGAACTCTGAAACCCGCCCTGAACACAAAAACGGGAAAATTTTATGAACACTATTCTTCTCACTTGAAGTTATGTAGAATTACAACATGGGTAAGTACATGCATCTCCAACCTTCGGGATTCCCTATCGTACTTCAAGGGAACTTTCAAGGTATAAGAATTGAAGCCTGCTGAAATAGTCTTGATGAAAATGGTTCAAAGAAAAGAGTTTGAAGGAAAGGAACTGAAACTCGTTTGCAGAGATTACATTCTATGGTGGATAAAGAAGGACTTTTAAGAATAAAGCCTTCTGAGTGCAGATGCAAATGTAGCACAGATTTTCATGTGCCTGCTATTCTGCCTGGAAATCATTACATCGTGCAGAGATTAATAGAAGGGAAACATTAAGACTTTAAACACGACAGTGTCTAAATATTGATGAATAATCTATGGGAAAGGTGTTATATATTGAGATAGGAAATCCATCCAACAATTAACATCACGCTGTGTTAGATCTAGAAGATTTACCGTGAACTTTGTTTATCCAGAATCCCTTGCTTTGCCAGAAGATCGAATTAGAAATGCAGCTCCGCTCGAGGTTATGCATGTCAGTCTAGCCGGTCCCTTACATTTGAGACATGAGGAAAAATGTTGGGACTTGTACACTTGTGCAGCTCACTTCGAATTATTAGCATCATTCTCATCAGAAGCATTCTTGCAAACATTGAGAAGATTCATTGCGAGAAGAGATACGTCTTCCGTTATATACTGTGATAGAGGGACGAATTTTCCTGGAGCTTTAAAATTCGCTGTGAGTGGTGGTCAAAATATGGAGCTTTATATTTAGGGAGCTGCTCATCCTGCATATGGAAAAATCCGTAACGAAGCTCTTGTGAAGACCACAACATGGAAATTCAATCCTCCAGCTGCACCATGGTGGGAGCGATTAGTAGACTGGAGAAAGGGAATTTAAGAAGATTATTGGGAAGAACAGCCTTAGGTTTTTTTTAAGAACTCTACATAGTTTTCTTTAGTATTGAAGGCTTGATGAACTCTGGATCACACTCTCCGAAGATGCGGATGACTTAGTTCCCTTGATTCCTAATTAATTATTGAAACATTTAACAATGGATCGGAGGGATAAAGTGTAGAATCATTAAGTTTTAGGGACCTGAGCAAAATCAGAGTTCCTCCAGTTGTAGAAGATTTACGTGAGCAAAATCATGAAAGGTCTGGGTGAGGAAGATTGGTCAAGGCTCGCCGCTCGTCCGAACATTTTCCGTAAATAACAGTAATATTATAGTCCTTCACTTTTTGAAACTTTTGAAATTTTTAAATAAAATTTCAATTATTCCAAATTTAAAAAAAAATTTCAGAAGTCAGCAATCTTGACTTGAGCCTAGTTTCGATTTCTCATTGGTACCCGTGATCTATATTTTTGACAGTTGAGCTTTGTTGTCAAATTAATTTTGCTTTATTGGCAACACAACTGTATTTTCGTGTTCAGAAATTGACAACATGGCGAGTCCAGAAGAAGAGTACGATACGAGTTGGTGAGTTAATTTATATTTTAATAATTTGTTTTTATTATTTAAAATCATTTCCCATAATATATTTGGATAGTGTTTTTATAGCGCGGCTTTTAGTTTTAATGTTATTTTGCAAAATATTTTCGTGATAGTCATATATTTTGTGGATTTTTCTTTTTAAATGCCTTTGCTTTGAATTTTTATCGGAAACTGTGTTTTTTATTCTTGTAAATATAACTGATTACTTATTTATTTATATAGCTATGTTCAGTAACGAATTCAGCTCAGTAATTAGTAATGATGTTCAGGGTTTCAGATTTGAAGCAGGCGCTGTTATCAGAATGCAGTTTAGAAAACATTAAAAAAGTTTGTCAAGGTAGACCTGTGCCTGATACTCTTAGAGCTGAAATTTGGCAGGTATGTCATTTAAACATAATAGCTGTACTATGTGATTTCTTTTTATTCCGAGGAAATGAATGTGCTGTTTTTAAATGACATAATTTTTAGTGACATAATGTTGATAATTGCAAGTACCTTTTTTGTGAAAACTGGTATAACATCAACTAGTAATATGGAAAATAATGCTTATTCTTAATATATTCGAAATAAGTGTTTAATCCTAGTTTACGGTATACACGGAATTTGGCTATATTATGATGAGCAGTAAACAAAATAAGTAATATGAAGTATATCATAGCAATAAAGAAACTTTTTTGTTCCATTTTGTATTTTAATCAAGAATGAAATATCTTAACTAAAGTAAAACTTACCGAAGATGATTATCAATAGTTCAATAGTTCTTTGGAAGTCATCACCTCGGAGATTATGTATGATAATGACGTTAAATATGAATTTTTGATTATGCGTTCAGAAATACAGTTTCCAAAAATTTCCATTCAATAAGATGGAGATTTCTGATGTTCACAGTGGCTTATATGCTGTCCACTTTAACAAGGAAGTACCATTCTGAGATATTGGAGTTCTGATTTTTTTTTTAAAGAAGGGAAGGAGATTTAATCTGTTTCAGAATGCTGCATATGATTTTGGTATAGTTCGTGAATAAATAGTTTAGTATAGTTCATGTATTACTAACTTTTAATGAGAACATTTTCTGTAAGGTAAATAGCCAAATTTTATTTATAACTGGTCGTGTTATTCGACTTTACACAAGCAAACATCATATTAATAATGGAGATAAAAAAGTATTGAGATACTTTGAGATCATGGATAGTGTAATCCTAATTGGCATTGTCCGAACTGTTAGCTAGAAAAATATTCAGCTGAACAGTATGTTAGAACAACATAGAATGTTACGATGGAGCTTTACAGTTTTCTTGAATGTATTTGAAAAAACTTTACCTGACTAAGTAAAAGAAAAGTGACAGCAATCTACTGGGTTAATTTCAAAAGTACTCTGGATGTTTTAAAAATTTTTAAAAAGGAAAATTTAAGAAGATTTTGGAATATGTCTAAAAGTTTCTTGAGAGACCAGTATATTGTCATAGTTAATGTCAAACAATAATCATGGAAAACCACTAGTAGTCTCATTTTGAACTTCTCTGTCTCATAAATAGCTCTTTATCACTTATTAAAAACAATCTTTTGATTAACTAAGTAAATAAAAGACAAATATTCATATTACAGTTATGCACTTTCTTGATGACAAATAATGTGTTAGAATTCTATTGTCTTCAAAGCTAAGAATGTCTATTAAGCATGAATATTATGATGTCAAAGGTAAAGATGTGACAATGATATTTGGAATTCTTCATAATTTTTGTGGCTGACATTTATCCACTATTTATGTTCTTTCTGGCTTCTAACTGCTTTCTCTTTCAAACCTCTCAAAATAAAAGCTAACTGAATTGCAAAATTGTATCATACATATATACAGTCAAAAGTCGTTAATTCGAACACCCATAATCCAGACCTCCTACAAACTTTCTGCACATGCGTAGCTTGTACGCATGCTCAAAATACCTTTATGCATGCGAATATGCATGTGCGTTTAATGTATAACGGACGATATAAGCTAAGCTAAAATTATCTAATTCAGTTAATGTTGCAGATTGTGTTGTTCCTTAATCTTCGAATTGGATCCGGCTTATTATTTTTTGCAGACTGTTAGAGCAATTTTATAAAAGTAAGCTTCAACTTTCGATTATGTCAAATAGAATTTCCAATATATATTCACTAATATGTAAAGGATCTACAAAGCGAAAGTATGTTTCGAAGTCCATTAAACAAAAAGTGGAATTGCTGCATAAAATCGATAAAGGCATATCCTTTGTTTTTCTAACCATTCCGAAATCTGTTTATCAATTTCACGCTGCTCTGCGGCAGGGGGACGGCGCGGCGCGCAGTGAATTGCAAGTTGATCTGTTAGCACTATCCTTATCTTCAGGGCAGATGTTTTTATTTTATTTGGCTTATAATTCCTTACTAAATGTAGTATTTCATCTCTATGTACTCCGTCATTGATATGATTTAAATCAAATTCCTCGTCATTATAATTCGCTTCCGATAGTGAAGAAAGTGACGCAGAGGTTATTGAAAACGAAAAAATTTCGATTGACAAATTAGTCGGTATTCTCGACACAGCAATTATAGGACTTGAACAGCGGAACTTTGTAACTGAACAAGAAATTATGTCTGCTTATAGAATTAAAGAGAAAGTATTATCACATAAAACGAAGCAACTTAAACAACTTACATTGAAAGAAATGTTTAATAAAGTAAACAAATAAATATTAAGCTTTTTTTTTTTGTAAATTTTGATACCCTTTAGATCATAATTGTTCTTTATTTCATAAATTACGGTTTCATATTTTTAATTTTATAATCTCTGCATGCCATCCTAACAGATAAACTGATGATCTATAATCCGGAAAAATCAATAATCCGGAATTGCCAAAGTCCCGACGAGTCCGGATTAACGACTTTTGACTGTAGTTGTTACCATGAAAGACTAAAATTGGAGAATGTCAACAGCCACCAAATACGTGGGTAAAAGATCGAACATTGCATTACATTCTTGTATGTCAACATTACATTCCCTCGCCGGTGTGTGACGACAATCACAGATATGCTCTGGTGTAGGTCGAAAAGAGAGGAGTAAACAAAGAGGCAACTGGCTGTTTCCCGCCAAATCCTATGTTTTGGTGGGAGTCAGTCAGCTTTGTCAGTCTTATGCAAGGTTTGATGGTGCAAGCAACGTTTTCTCAATCCCCCCCCGATACTCTAATTTATACTGAATGGATACTGCAGTGAATCATGATTTGTTTTTTGAAAAGTTAAATGCATTAATTGTGGGTAAACAAGAAGACAATTGTTTTTATTTTTTTCAAGAAAAGTACTCTAAAATACTTTCTGAAGTGGTTTTTGCTAAAAGTAAATGCAACACCCTTTGGATTACAACCGATTAAAGCTTTTTAATGTTTTAAAAATTAATGATGAAGAGAAGTTAATTGTACCATTAAAACCAGGAGAAACGAATATACAGTATAGTCAAAAGTCGTTAATCCGGACTCGTCGGGACTTCGGCGATTCCGAATTATCGATTTTTCCGGATTATAGATCATCAGTTTAAATCGCGTAAGATGGCATGCAGAAATTCTAAAATTAAAAATATGAAACCGTAATTTATGAAATAAAGAACAATTATGATCTAAAGGGTATCAAAATTTACAAAAAAAAAAAAAAAAAGCTTAATATTTATTTGTTTACTTTAATAAACATTTCTTTCAATGTAAGTTGTTTAAGTTGCTTCGTTTTATGTGATAATACTTTCTCTTTAATTCTATAAACAGACATAATTTTTTGTTCACTTACAAAGTTCCGCTGTTCAAGTCCCGTTAATTGCTGTGCCGAGAATACCGACTAACTTGTCAATCGAAATTTTTTCGTTTTCACTAACCTCTCTGTCACATTCTTCATGTCTTTATCCATTTTTTGCAGCAATTCCACTTTTTGTTTGATGGACATCGAAACATACTTTCGTTTTGTACGATCCTTTGGGAGCTCCAGAATCAAAAATTCTATTTGACATAATCGAAAGTTCAAGTTTACTTTTATAGTATTGCTCTTACAGGCTGCAAAAAATAATAAGCCGGATACAATTCGAAAAATTAAGGAACAACGCAATTATCAACATTAACTGAAATAGATAATTAGATAATTTTAGCTTACACCGTCCGTTATACATAAAACGCGCACGCGGAAACGTATTCTGCGCTTGCGCACATGCAAATGCGCAGTCGTAAGAAGTCTTACGCGCACGCATAAACGCCTATGCACATGTGTCAACGCGGCGCATGCGCAGAACGTTTTTAGCTTTGAGGTCCGGATTATAGATCATTCCGAATTATGGGTGTCCGAATTAACGACTTTTGACTGTATTATGTTACCAATGAGGAATTGTTCAATATACTATATGAAACTCACACCAGCATAGGGCATGGAGGAAGAACACATATGCTTAAAGAGTTGCAAATTAAATACAAAAATATTACATACAAAGTTGTAATATTGTATTTAAATTTATGCAAACAGTGTCAAATGAAACACCACTTAAGAAAGGTATTGCTGTGAAACCATGATCAGTTCTGAGTTAAACTCAAGATGTCAAGCTGATCTGATAGATCTGCAGTCAAACAGAGATGGTGAATATAAGTTCATAATGCTATATCAAGATCATTTAACTAAGTTTGTCCAGCTATGACCTTTGAAAAACTAAGAGAGCTGAAAAAGTAGCGTATCACATTTTTGCAATATTTTTAACATTTGGTGCTCCAGCAATATCGCAATTAGATAATAGTATAAAATTCAGTAATCTAGCCATATCTGAAATATGTGCTATGTGGAAAGATGTTAAGATAGTTTATGGACAGCCTCATCACAGTCAAACATAAGGCTCAGTTGAAAGGGTCAATCAGGATATACAGAATATGCTAACTGCATGGATAAACGATAACAATACAAATAAATGGACAGAAGGTTTACCCTTTGTTCAATTTGCCAAAAACACTACATACCACGAAGGAATATGTCAAAGTCCTTATGAAGCCATGTTTAGCGTTAAAGGAAAAAGAAGCATAGCATCATCTTTTTCGGCTAGCGAACAAATCACAAATATTGAAATCGAAGAACAACTCGAAGAAATTTCCAATACTTTTGAAACCGAAGAACAGCTTGAAGAAACTCGTAATACTTCTGAAAAACATTTGAGTGGTGGTCATACTGCAAACCATATCCCAAAGAAAAATATTGAAGAGGACTTGCAATCTAGCATGGCTTCACATCAAGTTCTGACTGAAAAACCCTGGGCTGTGGAGTGAGTGGGGAAAATGATCCGACTCATATATATGTAAACATATAAAAATGGCTGCAGCTTATTTTTTTAATATAAAAGAAGTAGTAAGTGCTACTGATAAAAATTGATGCATAGCAAGTTTTTTATATTAATTAGCATTTATTATGAAATGGAAAAACTGGCAATAGTAATTTCTAAGAAACAAGATCTTTGTTTGTTTCTTTTCAGCAAGATATTCTTTATTAGAGGACTATAGATTTGATTTGATAAACTTCATAATTGAGAAGAGTCTTTCCACACTGACTTGAGTAGGAAGAAGAGCTGTTACTGTTATGGCTACTTCCTTTAACTTTTCAGGATAGATTTTTGTAAGTTCTAAAAGAGGTGTCTTGCGAGAACAATTATATTTGTCTATTTCTTCAAAGGCCATGTATAAATCTTGTTTGTATTTTTTTATTTTTATATCTAAAGGCTCTTAGTTCTTTATTTTCATTCACTTTGCCTTAGCCTTTTCAATATTGTCCAAAAGTATTCCTCAAAATCTAATTCATCAGTGGAAGAAGATGATAGAGACTCGGTTTCAATATCTGCTGTTTGAATGTCCTGATTTGAATACTCCAGTTGTTCTGAGAATGATTTCATTCTTAATAAAAGTTCATGGATGGCTTTCTTTGCTTTTTTAATTTGTTTGCCATCCAACAAAATTTGACATTTTGGATATACATATATTGAACCCAGCGCTATCTTATTGTCTAGCAAACTAGTTTCTCTTTTCTTCATTGAAGAAATGATTCCTTCTGCAATAAACCCTCCATTTCAGAAAAAACAAACATCGCATTCTTCCAGTCTTGCCTCTTGTTAATTCTTCAGATTGTAACTTTTTGATGGCTATATACGATGTTGAAAGAAGGATTTCTAGTTCTGCAAGATCATTCCACAGTCTTTCAGTTAGTGAAATATTATGGTTATTTACATCTTCTGAAAAAGTTCTTAATCCTAATCATCAAATATGTATTTCTCTATTGCGTTGCTCCTTTTCCTGCTTGCTTCCTAAGAATAGTATCAATTTTGAGAGTTCTTGCTGCTTACCTCAATTTACCAATGAGATTAGCAGTAAAGATCAGTTGTAAAAATAAATCATAAAAAAATGGGGGAATTTTAATTGGAAATAACGTAAATTTTGAAATGTGAAAGAAAGAATAAAATACATTTAATAAAAAAAAAGAGATATTAACAAATATATGCCAAATTCAATTACCATTGAGGAGCTAAGTTTTTCAAAACTACTCGTGCGATTCTTACAAAACTTGGCAGTTTGGCATAATTTGAGTCATGAAATCGAAATATTAAAAAAAAATTGTACCTTTATTAAAAGACAGTTATTGGCATTCGGTGTCAAACCTACTGAGTATTGTAATTCGAGCTTTTGTGGTCCAAATATATATTGCTGAAGGAAAATCTAGCCATAAGCCATAAGCCTTAAAATCATTTGAAATTTTTGAAGTATAAAATACTGAGAGAAGCCTATTCAGGTTAATTTTTAGTTATGAATTTTATTTCATTAACAAATATGTTTCATCCAAGGTGTATTACCACTGTATTGGTAAAAAATTATAAGAATGAGAAAAGTTATATAAAGTGTTTTTAATGATTTGATTATTTGTTATATTAAATATTTAATATTAAATAAAATAAAGTTCATTAAAATAGATTCTTGCAAGGCATACTGATTTTTTTTCAGTTTCTTAACAAAGTTAGAGAGGAAGAAATGTAACAGATTTTTGTAAAATGCATTTGTAATCTTTATTCTACAATAAGATTTGTGTTTAGAGCTGATAAAATTTTCCTTTGTTTATGTGTGTGCCTATTTTATCTTAAACTGAGAAAATTATTCATTGATCTTGTGTGACAGAATGGCTGTAAGTTATAAATGTATCAGATTATCGTGTATTATCACAATTTAAACTTCATAATATATGAACTAACAATTTATACATATTTTTGAGTACTGCTGTGAACAGGATTTTCATAAAACCTGTAAACTTAGCATTAAAAATTATCATCATTTTCTATCGTATAAAAAGGACTTGCACACACTTTTTTTTACAAATTATAAGTTTATATTGGATATGAAATATATAAAGAACAAACTTTTTCATACTTTTGAAATCATCTTCTGTGATAGATATGTTTATCCATAAATGCAAGAAATGAAGAGTCCTGGGATGAAATATTTGATCTACCTGTGCAGCCACGTATTAGAGAAGATTGCCAAAGTTTAGTTGGTATGTTAATTACTCTTTAATATGTTATATTGTTCATTATTTCTTTCTGAACTTTTCTACTAGTTTTTGAGAAATTTCTACTTCCTTACCCCTTCACAATGAGTTTATCATGTGTGCATCAGTACTTAATCCTCTTACGCGGCAGCATACTACTTAGTGCAACTACCTCGAGATAGTATATTGTTGCAGTAGTACAATCTCACATCACTAAGCCTAACTTTCAAAACATTTTTTTAATCAACTATTTTGATTTTTTCTGTAATAGTATCTAGCAGTAATACAGTCATAAATAAAGAATATAGAGGTTGAACATGTCATTATATATTGTGATGCATCTGCTAGATTTCTGCCAGGCACATTTAACTCTCTTTTTATGAAATCTTTCTAGATAACTTCCCATGGTTGGTCAGCGCCTGGTTTTCGTAGGTGTTGCTCTTAAGTCTGTTCGTTGAAACTTTTGGGAAGATCTTATGCGTCATCCTGCGTGTTGTACCCTTGTCCCATCTTGTTTGCCATAATCTGGTCGCTTCTCTCTGCAATCTATTTTTGACTACTTCTTCCGAAAGGGGATCATCTAAGTCTTTATTATTTTTCTGTGTTGCTCTTTTTGCCTCCTGATCGGCCCTTTTATTTCCTAATGTGCCCTGGTGGGCTTTTATCCAGTTAAAGGAGACATTATGTATCTCTTTGAGGGTGTTACAGTACAAAGTCCGTAATTCGGATTTGTCTAGACTTCGGGGATTCCAAATTAGGTATTTTTCCGAATTATAGATCGTCAATTTAAATCTGGTAAGTTGGCATGCAGAAATTATGCAATAAAAAACATGAAATCATAATTTAGGAAATAAAGAACAATTATGATCTAAAGGGTATCAAAATTTACAAAAAAAAAAAAAAAAGCTTAATATTTATTTGTTTACTTTATTAAACATTTCTTTCAATGTAAGTTGTTTAAGATGTTTCCACAAAAAATTCAAAAAGTTTCTTTTTATTATGTCATATATAGTGGACTTTCCAATGCCACACTTCTCGCATAATTTTGAGACGGATAGGCCTTTATCCATTTTTTGCAGCAATTCCACTTTTTGTTTAATGGACATCAAAACATGCTTTCGCTTTGTAGATCCTTTGGTAGCTCCAGAATTGGAAACTCTTTTTGACATAATCAAAAGTTCAAGCTTAATTTTTATAAAATTATTCTAACACTCTGCAAAAAATAATAAGCCAGATCCAATTAGAAGATTAAGGAACAGTGCAATCTGCAACATTAACTGAAATGCCTTAGATAATTTTAGCCTAGCTTATACCATCCATTATACATTAAACGGGCATGCGTAAACGTATTGTGTGTTTACGCATGTGCATAAAGTTTATAGCTTTGAAGCCCTGATTATACATAATTCCGGATTACAGACTTTGTACTGTATACAATTCTCTTAAGCTTTGAATACTTTCTTTTGTTATCTTTATACTGTTAAGGCTATGAATTGTGCTTTGGCTATCCATGTATATCGACACTGGGGAGGTGGTACTTACGTTCTGTCCTATCCAAATCAGTGCGCTTTTTAGAGCTTGGATTTCTGCCTGAAAAACTTTAGCTTCATCATTTAGTCTTATTGTGACACTTTGGATTTGGCTTGTATTTTCTAATATCACAAACTTTGTCATTCATTTTTGACCTGTCTGGTATAGACTTCAACGTCTTTGTTGTATGGTGGGTCTTTACCCCATTCTATTCTTATTTGATCTGCTGGGTGCTGTTGTATTGTTGGGAGTCTGTCGTCTATCTCATTGTGCCATAGTGTGGTCTCTCGCAGGGATATATTTTCTTTCAAGTGGACCGCTCTGTAGAATTGAGCTTCTATGTCGGCTTTAAGGTCTAGGAGTAATATGCTCACTAGGATCTGAAGTCCCGCTGTGGGTGTTGTCGAAAAAGCTTTTGTTATACATAAGAGTGCTATCCTTTGAATTTGGTTTAATTTATTTTTGACTCTTTCTGTCCCCGTATATCAAATGGGGCACCCGTAGAGCACCATTCTTTCTATGGCTCTTATGTATAGCGACTTTAGAAGTTTTCCTTTTAAGTTCCACCGATGGGAGACCATTCTATTCAAGTTATTAATTAGCTTTAAAGTCTTTTCTTTGATTTCTGTTAGGTGCGGAACCCATTTTAATTTTGGTCCAGGACTATATATTTAAGATGTTCACATCTTGGGATAGTTATGTTTCTCCATTTGATTCTTGCGGAGGGGATCTTTGTAATTTATTCTCATTTGGAAATAGGATTAGTTTAGTTTTCTCTACACTGAATTTAAGTTTGTACTTAAGACTCCATTTATGAATTTTGTCTAGTGCCCTGTGGGCTTTTTGCTCTGTCCTTAGTCTATTCCCCCTTGCGACTATTGTTATGAAATCGTCTGCGTAGGCTTGAATATTTAAGTTTTCTTTAAACTCTAAATTGAGGGCGGTGTCTGCAATTAAGTTCCATAAAATTGGCCCTAGGTTTGAACCCGGTCGGGCGTCTTTGTAGTAGTTATGGGTAACATTTACCCCATCTCTATTGTAAGTGACTTTTCTATCCTTTAGGTAACTTTTGACTATCTCGTAAAGATTGGAGGGGCAGTTAATCTCCGCTAGCCTAGCCAATATTCCTGGCCACCACAAGTTATTAAATGCGGAGGCTACGTCAAGGGAAATTACACAAGTGTGTAGATTGTTCCTTTTGTTCTCCTGAATCTGTGACACTAAACTTTTAAATGCATCCAATGTGCTTCTATCCGGAGTGAAGCCAAACTGCTTATTGTTAAGAACTTTGTTCTTAATAGAAAAGAATGTCAACCTTTTTGAAATTAGTTTATCTAATATCTTGCCTCAGGTAGAGAGTAAACAAATTGGCCTAGAAGCCCCTGGGGTGGTTCTTTTTACCTTCTTTGTGGAAGAGGACTAGATTAGCCTCTTTCCATTGAAGGGGGAAATAACCTCTTTTGAGGCATTCATTAAGGATCTGAACAAAGAAATCTTCATTGATTATAAATTGCTCTTCAACTATCTTTAATGTTCATCTTTCCCTGGGGCCTTTCCCTTTTTAGTACTTTTAATTAGCTGTCTGATTTCCTCTTTTGTGAATTTTGGGTCTTCTTCTGAGACGGGGGGTTTTCCACCTTTCTTCGTATTGTTTTATGAAACTCATTATCATCATCTTCGCTATCCTGCAGAAAATGATTAATCGTCTCTTCTATCTAGACTTAACCCCTTCGAGCCGGGTAGTGAAAACGCCCGCTTATCGCGGAGGCCGGCAGTGTCTTCCACGAGCGTCTCTCCAGGGCCGGGGGCTTTTTTGCTACTAAGCCTAAATCCATGAAATTCCCAAAGTATCAACGCATTGTTTAATAATGCTCTATAGAGTATTTAAACGGCTTATGTTTTATAGATATTTATATATATTTACTTTAATTACCTTATTTCTTGTTTAAATGCATATTTTACACATTTTATTTTAATTACTCACCATTTTATGACTTTTACATTATACATCTGAAAACTAAATATATTGCTTAAAATTCTCTTTTCATATGAAAAATTTGAAAACAGGGATCTACACACAGTCCTACGTTACATTCCTTGAACTCGTAATAACTCATTTACCGTTTTGGAGGATTTTTCCGGGAGTGTGAACAAACGAAGCATCGTTGTCTCATTTTCTTATCAGTCTCTTCTGAACAAAGTTTTGGAAAATGTCTTTCAGTTAATCTTTCAGAATCAATATCAGAATTTCAGAATCAATATCTGAAATATTTTGCATTATTTCTGCTATTTCATGCTCTGTTAAACATTTTCGACGCTTCGACATTGAAACGGTAAAAACAGAAAAAACAGAAAGAATTCACGTCTAACAAGATCTAATTATTTTCTAAAAACTGAACTGTAAACCGAAATACTCAACACTTTAGCGCATATAAAACTTCTACTTACAATAAACAACTACCACATGCGAATAAAGTGCGATTTAAAGAGACGTCATAAATCACGCCATTTGGAAACATTTAGTTCCCCATTTGTTTATATAATCAAAAACACGTGTATGTGAGTCATGCTTCTCTCATTTCGAGTAGAAGGTCTAATGTACATGTATCTGAAACCATATGGACATACAGTGCCATCTTGTGGTAGAAATTATAGTTTGAAAAACGTTCCAGGGTACTGGCACAAATACGTGACAGTCGGTAGTAAACGCAAAAATGCTCTGGCACGCCTGCGAGTCGGCCGGTAGGTAAGTGTGTTCGTTGTTGGCACGTATACGTGACAGTCGGCGCGAAGGGGTTAAGATTCATTCATTTGGGGTCTTTTGGATACTTTTTAGGGGGTGTAAGCTTTGCCCTTGACAATGTCATAAAAAGTGCCGAAAGGGGAGTTTATTTTTAAGCTTTCCCAGAAGTTCTCCCATGATTCCAGTTATGCTTTGAAGATCTGTCTTCTGTAAAGGGCCGCTTGTTTGTTAAAATCCCTCTTTTTAATCTTTATGAGGTCCCCCCCTTGAGTTTTGATACTCTTTTCTTAGTCTACATACTAATCTTCTTTGCTCTGTTAGACCTGGGGTCCACCATTTTTTGCTTTGCCTAGTACTTGTACCTTTTTAAAGGAAGGCTTTAGGTATCTTAGGTAGGTCTCTTTTAGTTGTACCGAGATTTCTTCTATATTTTCATCTATGTCCTCTTTACATGATATTTTGGTCTTTTCTACAAATATTTTATTAATGACCGCTTTTGAGCCAGTCCGTGTTTAAAAGTTTCATCCTTAGGGCTTTTTTTTTGGGGGGGGGGGTCTTTCTATTTTTAGGCTAACTTCGAAGTTGATTGCCTTATGATCACAGAGTGTTTCTCTATCGTTCACTTCCCACTTATTGAGGGTGACTGTATTTTCATTCCTTATGAGTGTGATGTCAATCCATGAGTTGCCTCGGGCTCCTACAATGGTTGGGGAACTGTCTGGGGTATTCAAGACTGTGGCATTTAATGCCGCTAAGAATTCACCTAATCTGACGCCCCTTGCATCCGAAGGTCTTGGACCCCATATTGACCTTTTTGCATTAAAATCTCTGCATATTATGGAGGGAAGATTTATATTTTGATGAATGAAATTCTCTAGATGAACCAGAATTTGATCTAAATCGTCATGCGGCGGGCAGTAAACCGAAGCTAGTAGGAAAGGGGTTTCCCCATCTATTTGCATGGCTACTACTTCTGTAGAAGTTACTATCTGTAAGGTAGAAAGTCCTGAGTCCTTGATTATAATAGCTGACTTGGCATTAACTGCACTGTAGAACACTCTGTAGTTAAGAGGGAATCCACATAACTTGTTTTTAATGAGGAAGGGTTCTTGGATACACGTGATTTTAAAGTCTCTGTCATTTTCGAGATGTTGTCTCAGTTGAGTACTTGCACTCCTTGAGTGCTGTAAATTAATCTGGGTAATTGGGACCTTATCCATAATTAATCTTCTTTTTAATTATATCAAGTTCTCTTCCTTTACAAGGACTATTGTTATCATAACTTTTATGGTGGGTCTCTAAGTTTAAGTTAAATTCCTGATTTGCCTTGCGGCAGTTTATGCATCTTTCTTTATTGCTGGAACAATCCTTTTTAAGATGCCCTGTCTTGCTACACTTTGCGCATCTTTGAGTTTCTTTACACATTCTTTTCGTTTGACCTACCCCTAGGCAATTAACATACTGTGTAACTTTAATAAATTCCCTGATACTTTTGCTCGTCCAATTTATGGTAACTTTTCTCATTTTCATTATACTCTGGAAAGCCTGGAGATCTAAAGAAAGCACTCAATTAGTCCCGTATTTTTCTTTCATATTGAATTTTATTTCTATCTCCGCTTTTTCCAATTTGTGGTTTTCGGTCTTTAAGATAGTTTTAAGGAAATCCTCATCTACATCTTTCACATTATAAATGAAAATCTTAGGGTTTATCTTTTTGGGCCTTTGAAGTTCCACTAAATCTTTTAATTTCTCGTTCTCTTTAATTGCTTCCTCTAAAATTTTAAGGTTGTCTTCTTTAACTGCGATTGATTTAACTGATCTAGATTGCGATTTCCTAACTATGTCTGCATATTATTTAGATATTTTAGTCTCTATTAATCCTTCAATAAAATCTTCTACATTTTGGGTCTGTTCTAACTGACCTTCTAACTTTGCTATCTTAAGATTTTACTTAGTCAAAACTTTTAAAATATTCACAAATTGTTCTTTGATTTCCTTGCTCACTCTCTTAGGAATTTTTTCCTTATTTAATAGTCCGTCTAGATTTTCTAGACAATCATGAGCTTCACTTAAAAAGTCCAACAAAAAGTGTCTTCATATGTCTGCATATCACTACACTGTCTTTGAGTCGTGACCCTTTGGTTCCTGGATTCTTCCAGCCTCTCTACTCGTGTTTTCCTGTAGCAATCATAGCGCTTTGTGTTTGTAGACACACTATGAGCGTGTGGGTGATGTAGGCCCTACTCAGGAGCCACTGAAAGCACCTTGAAGGGTGCAACAAGTGCAGTGGTTGCTCTTTGTAGTGACCGGTACCCTCAGGTTCTCACCAATCATCACTACTAAGCTGTGGAATTAGTTGGAACTTCTTTCAAGGAAGCCTCCAGACCACGGCAAGGTCAGTTTCACTGGAAAGAGATTTTGCAAATAGATCACCTGATGACGACGTTTAAACTCGGATAGTACTGGACGGCACCCGACGTTCTATCTGAGATGTGTCAGCTGGCTCAATGATATCAACAGTCAAGTATCAATCAAAACAACAATAATTGCTTCCCCCTGGGGGTAACTTAAGCAAAGTCTGTACATTCTGAAAAGTAATGGAAGTAGTTTTTATGTATATTATACATAAAACTAAACTCAGTAGCACAACAACCTTAGTGGGCCAAGGCCTGCAGTGCCTGAAATCTGCTAACCGTGGGCCCCGGTGTGCGTGAGCATATGCCCTGAACAAGTAGTCGCTTGTCGCAGGACTCCTGGTGTTTAGTTCCCAAGTGAACTTGGTACTCATTTTATCGACCCACTCAAGAGATGAAAGGCTGGGCCTACCTTGCCCAGCTCGGGAATCGGACCTCAGACCTGTGGTGCTACTGCGCAATGCGCGAGCCACTGCGCCACAGGGCTTATACATAAAGACATGCTTTATCTAAAAATTGTGTTGTTATAATGAAAAATTAATTGCATATTTTGACTAAAGTTGATGAAATTCATATATTTTCATGTTCAGTGGCTAATCTGCATAATAATTCGTTTAATAAATTAAATTGTGATTAATTGCTATTCTCTTAATAAGGTAAATGGCAGTTTAGAGATTCTGTATGATTTTTTTGGGTATACTTTCATCTGTGATTGTAGTTTTTATTAAGTAATGATAACAATTTTTCTTTAATTGAATATTTTTGCAAGTTTTCTTGTTTCATGTGATACTGATTTTTTTTTTTTTTTTTTTAATTTTTATTTTATTTACATTTTAAATTTCTCATAGAAAGATTAGGAAATGAAGAAGAAGATAAAGTATCTGTATTAAGTGATGTGGAATCTGTAATTACAAGATATTGCCGTTTGACTGGATATGAATATGATTCAAATTGGGTGCAACTTTTGGAACCACTTATTGCTCTTAGGTTACCGAAGACCAAATTATTTTCTTACTTTTATGCAATTCACAATAAATACATTCCAAAGTAAGTGTGATTTTTTTTTAATGAATAGGATTAAATATTAGATGTGTAATTTTCTATGTTTAAAATAAACACTTAAATGTGACTTAAATTAAAAAAACATTATCAAAACTACAGTGAACAAATATGCATTTTTTATTTTTTATTTATTTATTTATTTTTGTGTATTTTAGTGCTTCAGTGCATCAAATACAGTGGTGGCCAAAATTGTGGACACTTTTGGAAATTTTTATGTTTTTGAACTTTGTATGCGTATAAAAAAGTTACGTTTCACAAAATGCAAACTTGTATATATCATTTTAAAGAGAATTTATTACTGAATTCAATACAAAACACAAAATTCAATTATTTGCAATAAAAAAAAAGTTTAACTATAGTAGTTATCGATATACATTAGATAGTGATAATTGCAGTGAGTTATCAGTACCCTTTATTTTTTATTACAGTTTCACATCGACATTTCATTGAGCTGGCAAGAGTTTTAAGCTCTTCTTTCGTTATTACATAATGCCAGGAAACAATTATAGCCTCAATTAGTTCCCTTTTATTTGATGGGCGCCTCATTCGGACAAGAGTTTTCAAATGGTGCCACAAATTTTCGATAGGATTGAGATCAGGACTGTTTCCTGGCCATGACAACAATTTAATGCTCTTTGTATGAAACCACTCTTTCGATATTTTAGCCGTGTGGCAAGGAGCAGAATCCTGCTGAAAAATAAACGAAGCATTGTTGGGAAAGAGATCTCTGATGGAAGGTAGAAGTTTGGCTCTAGAACAGTGTCAATGTATTTTCTGGCATTCAGTGTCCCATCGATGACATGAAGGCAACCAATAGCATCTGCTGAAATGCATGACCAAATCATAACATTAACTGGGTTCTTCACAGTTGCTTGAATGCAGTCAGGATGTAGCTCTTCTCCTATTCTACATCTTACATATTTTCGCCCATCACTCCCGAATAACGATATCTTAGTTTCATCACTCCATATAACTTGTGACCACTGATCATCTGTCCAATTAATATATTCCTTTGCCCACTGTAGTCTTTTTTTTTTTTTTTGTTGAAAATTAAGATAAGGCTTTTTTCGTGGAATTCTACCTCTCAGTCCAACATCTGTTAATCTTCTCCTAATTGTTCTTGAACTGACAGAAACACCAGCATCATTCAGATCACTTCTGATGGCCGCTAATGACATTTTTCTATCTTGGAGACATAGTCTTTTTATTCTTCTGTCATCAATAGATGTGGTGCACCTTTTTCGGCCTTTTCCTTCTGTGTTTTTTACTTAATTTGTCTCCTGATATCGTAAACAAAACTTTCGGACTCCAGATGTAGTCACTGAACCACCCACCTGTATTGCAATTTCAGCATAGGAAAGACCACTTTCTCGTAACACAATAATATAACATCTCTTTCTAGGCGTCCAATCTACTCTTTTATTTGATGTCATTGCTTCTTGACTAAATATTAAAAATTTTTACAAAAATTCCTACTTGTAATTGCAGTGTATAAGAAACAGGTCCTCCTTCTACAGAACAAAGCAAAATAATGAAACATGATGTCAGCTTCTACTGGCAGTTACTAACATTTGATTGGTTCTCAGAACAAGAACAGTGATTGGCCAGGAAAGCTAGACATTACAAACCACTTCATAACTGTGTTTTTTATTTATATTAAAGTACATATCACTTTTTTGTATTGCAAATAATTGAATTTTGTGTTTTATATTGAATTCAGTAATAAATTCTCTTTAAAATGATATATACTGTAAGGATCTTAAGTTTTACTAACGTTTATTTTATTTTAAATCTTTACTATCACTTCTTATTTTCTACTTCCGGCCAGAATTATAAGCGTGAAGGAGTTTATGCAAAGTTGTCTGGCGAACGCCAAGTATTTAGTGTGGCCTTTTTGCCAAGCAGAAGAGAGGAAGCCGTGAGTTCGAAGCAGGCCGCTTACCTTAGAAGTTACGCAGTTGCTACTTTGCCTTCCAGGCCAGAGGTTTTAATCCTCTTGATAAATTAAACGTATTGTAGTGTTCACAGTCTCTGTGCTACATACGCTTTCTGTTATTATAAGGCCAATCTTATTCTAAAGTTAAATTAGAGTTTAGTTTTATTTTGATATCTTTTAAGTTAGACCCCGAGTGGAGGGTCATTGTATTCCGAAGTACGGAAGTCATTGTATATAAAGAAAAAATAAAGGGTTTTGTATACCCTTCGTCTGTATCCTGTCTACTTACTACAATTAGTGAACATAGCTTTAGTAAGCTCTCTGTTCTAGTCAGGTCATTGTATGTTTCCGAAGAAGGTTAGAAGAAACATTGAACCTGATAGTGGCGCCCGAACGAAGAATAACCATGGCCGAGTTTCAAGAAGAACCTGTGCTGCCTGCAGAAACAGCTCAGAATCCAGAAATGCCAGCTGCCGCCCTGGAAGGATTTTTTTATATTGTCCAGACCATGCGCGCTTCGATGAAACCAGAAGCAACGTTTAATGGAAACTCACAGGTAACCAGTTTTTTGGAAAAATTGGATGACCACTTCATGCTCTACCCCGTGCACGAGTTTCAAAAAGTTACCTTAGCTACCAGCGCTTTGAGGGGCCAAGCGCTTAACTGGTTCAAATGTATCGGCAGAAGTCTCTTGGGTCAAGCAGGAAGTCCCACCTATACCTACGAAAATTTCAAGACTGCCCTACTAAAAGCCTTCCCTGTTGTAAGGGATCGTGCGAAATTAGAAACAGAACTTTTCAGTATATATCAACAAAGAATGGAAAACCTCTCGAGCTTTATTTTAAGAAAAATTCACGTTTTCAAGCTCTTGTATGGAAACCGTCCGGATCCTGAAATAATTCAAGTGATTTTGCCGAGGTTACTACCCCAAGTGCAAGACTTTATTGAATTGAGAAATCCGACTACACTGGAAAAATTATTTGAGCTAGCAATCCAGTTTGAAAGTAGAAGAACGGCGGACGTCGAAAGAAGACGCCAATATCAACAGCGAAACCAATTTGGTACGCCAAGACTACAGCAAACTCAAGCACATGGCTACGGAGAAAAAGCGAATCAGTGGGCAAGGAAACCCGAGCATTCAAAAACAGCCGGCGAACGTCGACAGTTCAATAGCAACCCAGGAAAAAAGTCTCAAGGCCAGTGGAGAAAAGAAGGAAAGCACCGAAAGGAAAAATAATTTAAACTAAAACGGATTTCTGCTGACGAGAGGGTGCGGAAATCCGAAGGCCACGAAAACCCCTCTTCCTACAAGTTAAATACAGTAATGGTGAAAAATTTAACTCTTCCGAAGATTGAAGTCTTGGTAAATAATATCCCGGCCACCGCACTCCTGGATACCGGCGCGCAGTGTTCCTGTGTGGCAGAAGTCTTTTTTAGAAAGTATTTTCGCAAATACCGCATATATAATGCGGATAATACAACAGTATTAGCGGCGCAAGGAGAACAATGTAAGTGCGTAGGTAAAGTACCTTTGTACATCCGTATCAAGGACGAACAAGTAAAGGTGATGTTTTTTATAGTAAAGAATTTGCAAGCACACTTAATACTAGGAATAGACTTTCTTTCAGACGCACAAGCTACACTGGATTTTAATGAAGCGTCCTCTTAAGCTGACAATGAAACCAGTGCGTGTAGAAAAGGTTGAACCGCCAAGGGTTAAATCTTCGACCACCTGCCTAATGACGAGCAAGATAGAATCCGACAAGTGGTAAGTGAATTTGCTTCCTTATTTAGTGATATTCCAGGATTTACCCAGGTTACTAACCATAGTATTGACACCGGAGATGCATTGCCGGTTCGTCAAAAACCATACCGGTATGATAAGAATAAGGAAAAAATTATAGAATGGCATATTACCGATATGCTACGTAAAAAGATCATAACGCCTATCTCAAGTAGTTATGCTAGTCCGGTGGTTTTATGTAAGAAAAATAATGATTATCCTTTGGAGCATCCAAAAAGGTGGAGATTCGCTATTGATTACCGTAAATTAAATTCCATAACGAAATATCCGGTATATCCGTTACCGATTATAGAAGAAATTTTAAGGAACATAAAATCAACCAAATTTATGACGACTTTAGACTTAACGAATGGTTATTTTCAAATAGGGGATCAGGCCTGAGGACGTGCCTAAGACTGCTTTTATAACCAAGTCTGGCACTTATGCATTTTTGCGAATGCCGTTTGGCCTTTCAGGCGCCCCAGCAACATTTCAGCGATGCATGGACATTGTGTTAAGACCTGTTCTCGGAAAGTCCACATTTATCTATTTAGACGATATCATTATTACTAGTGATAATCTCGACCAACATGTACAGGATTTAAGACAGGTGTTTTCTTTATTAAATGAGGCCGGTCTAAAAGTTAATGTCGAAAATGCAAATTTGCAGCCCCTGAATTAAAATATTTAGGTTACAAAATATCGCAAAAAGGGATCGAGACAGATGAATCAAAAATAATCGCTGTACAAAAGTATCCGACTCCAAACACGGCAAAGAAGCTCTCTTCTTTTCTAGGACTTTGTTCATATTATAGGTCCTTTATAAAAGATTTTGCGGCTATCGCTGAGCCATTGTTAAAATTAAAAAGGAAAAAGGCAAGATTCTCGTGGACGGCCGAAGCCAATAGTGCTTTCGAAAAATTAAAACAAGCATTAACGCAAGCCCCTGTGTTGAAATTTCCTGAAAAGGATGAAAATTTAGAAATTTCAGCGGATGCTTCGGATTATGCGGTAGGAGCGGTACTTTCGCAAAATCAGCAGCCCGTGGCATTTTTTAGCCGAACTTTAAATCAAACACAAAGAAAACTATTCCGCGACCGAGAGAGAGGCACTTGCAGTTCTGTTAGCAGTGCAAAAGTTCCGAGTCTATTTTGGAAAGGCGCCGATAACAGTATATTCTGATCATGCGGCGGTAACTAACTAGATTGTACTCAGGGAAAAATTTATCCCCAAGGTTAATAAGATGGGCACTCAAGCTGCAAGAATATAA